TTGGCCGCCGACAGCAACTGTGGTGATATTCCCGACTTCATCGGCGTTACGGGAACCCCCATCATCGACCCCAACACCGACATCATGTACCTCTTCTCGAAAGGGTACCGGGACGGAACCACTTCCGGCACCGCCAACGGAGTCTACAAGATGTACGCTCTTCGCATCCCCAGCCTCGAGGACGTCTCCGGCTTCCCCACTCTCATCGACGGTATCAATGCCGACAACGACCCTGGCCGGTATCTGGTTGGTGGTGTGGCCCTGCAGCGCCCAGCCCTGACGGAGCTCAACGGCCACATCGTTGCTGCGTTCGGATCGCATTGCGGCCGCTGGAACTACACCGGTTATATCGTCTCGGTCAGCAAGACCCCAGGAGTCGGTCCTGTGAGCATGTGGGCGACAGAGGCAGCTCCAGGTGCGCCTAGCCCCCAGGCTCTCGACCTTACCAACGAAAGAAGTGGCAAGGCCGGTATTTGGCAGAGCGGCATGGGTCTGCCCACCATCGGCAACAACGTCTTCTTCGTGGCTGGCAATGGACAGGGACACGCCAACGGCAATGTTCCGGCGAGTGGTAGAATCTCCATGTCGACCCTCGATGAGTGTATCGTCAAGATGGAGCTGTCAGCTACCGGCAAATGGGCTCTCATTGATTACTTCCAGCCCTACGACTACGTCGCGCTTGATGCCGGTGACCGCGACGTTGGCTCCTCTGGCCTTGCTGTCTTGGACGGTTCCGTCTTCAAGGGAGCCGGTGTCAACCGTATTGGCGTGACTGCAGGAAAGAAGGGCAGGACTTATGTGGTCAACGCTGACAACCTTGGTGGATTCCGTCAAGCCTCAGACGGTGGTGACGGCGTCTTGCAGACTATCGAACTTGGCGGCTCTCTGTATGGTGGTTTCGGCAGTTACCCTGCTGAGGGCGGCTACATCTATGCAACCACCGTCGGCGGTGCCCTTGTTGCTTACAAGCTTGGCTTCGACTCCAAGGGCGTCCCGCAGTTCAGTCTTGCTGGCCAGTCTACCTGGATTTCTGCCGGCCGTGTTGGTGTCGGCCAAATGACAGTCACCTCCGACAACGGCAAGGCTGGTTCAGGAATCGTTTGGATTACTGACGTCAACACTGGTCTCATGGCCTTCAAGGCTATTCCCCAGGACGGTGTCATGGTTCCCATCACCCTTCCATCGTCTCAAGGCACAAACAAGTACCAGCGTCCCGTTTTCGGTGACGGCCGAGTTTTCTTCCACGTTAACGCCAACAAACTCGTCTGTTTTGGTGCACCGGTCAACTCTGCCGTCAACTGCACTTCTCCTCTCGACTTTGGCTCCCTGGAACTTGGCTCCACCGCGAGCGCCACTGTCAGCTGCAAGGTCAACGTCGCCTTGGCTGGTGTCGTCGGATGTTCCGTCGCCGACGCGTCCTGGTCGTGCTCCAACTCGACTCTCCCTCAAGGCGCGGTGGCTGCGGGCACATCCTTCAACCTGAACGTGACTTGGGATCTCTCAAACACTGCAGCAAAGGTCGTACCGGGCTTCCTCACCAGTGCTATAACACTCGCTGTAAACGCCTCGGCAGACTATGCCGCGAGCACTTTTGTGACGGTTCAGGGTACCGTCGTCAAGCAAGGAGCCTTCCTCAAAGCGACTCCATCGGACATTACATTTGGAAGACTCGTGCTGCGGGATTCTCCCGATGGTCTTACCGCCACTGCTCTGCTCCAGAACATCGGCAACGGCACCCTTACCTTCATCGGGTTTGCCTGGCAGAACACTGCTGGTACCTACACCAACTTCACCAGCGACGGCACTTTGGGTGCTGGATTCACCTCTTCGGGTTTCCCTGCTGTCGGGTCCACCTTGGACTCTAGAAAGAGTCTTTCGGTTCCTCTCCGCTTCTTCCAATCCACGGCGGGTTCTTACTCCTCAAAGGTCGCCATCTGGTCAAACGGTGGTTATTCTGTCCTCACGTTGAGCGCCTCCGTCAACGATGCTCCAGCTGTGACTTTTGAATTGTCCGACGGTTCAGGCAACTGGAACGCACTCACAGACTTCAGCGTCGCCTTTGGCAATGTTCTTGCTGGCACCTCGGTCGACAAGCAAATCCGAGTCTGCAACAAGGGTGGTGCTCCCTTAACGATTACCATCTCCAAACCCCCTGCGACGTCTCAGCTATTTGCTCTGAACCCTACTGCCGAGCTCACCGAGGGAACGCAAGTTGCAGCTGGTACTTGCGCCATCGGCAGCGTAGGCCTTCACGCTGCCCCTGTCCAACCCAACCATCCGTCTCAAGCTCTCAACGCTCTGTGGACCATCAGCTCCGACGGTAACGATCCCACTACTGGTCAAGCGTCTGGACTGCACAATATCGCCTTCTCCGGCACTGTTGTCTCGAAGCAGGTCGGGCCTCTTCTCACGAACGGCACCGCGCGTTACCAATGGGTTGGATGCTTCCAAGACACGAGCAGTGCCGGCCGCAACTTGCAGACTTCGGTCAACACGGCTGATCAGCAAAATACAAACACCCTTCAGCAGTGTCAGACTCTATGCCTTGCTAAGGGTTACATTCTCTCTGGTGTGCAATACCATCAAGAGTGCTGGTGTGGTGGAAGCATCAAGACCCCCTCGACGTACAGATCTGAGTCTCTCAACCTTTGCACCTTTGACTGCACAGGTGACGATACTCAAGCCTGCGGAGGTGACGGTGGCCACATGAGCTTGTACGCCGACATCACTTCATTCGACATTGCCGGTTTCTACGCTTCTCTCAACGCCCCCAGCTCCAGCTCCAGCTCATCTGCGCCTGTTGCAACGAGCTCCAGCTCAAGCATTGTGTCTTCTAGCAGTGCCGTCACAGTCTCGACGACCTCTGCCGCCAGCGGATCTTCTTCAATCGGCTCCAGCAGCACGATCTCTAGCAGCTCCTCTGCGACAGGACTTTCTAGCAGCTCGAGTTCCATTGGCCTGTCGTCTTCCAGCAGCACGCCGGCTGCAAGCACAGTTGCCTCGTCCACCTTGACCTCTTCATCAAGCACCTCGTCTTCCAGCCCTTCGTCTACAATGGTCACTTCGCCAATCAACTCGGCCATGCCAGCCATTATTAGTGGCCAATGGAAGTACTCTGGCTGCTACAAGGATCTTGTCAACAACACACGCCTGCTGGGTGAAACCCAACTGGCTGCCGATGATATGACCTTGGACAAGTGTGCCGCATTCTGCAGCGCTGGGGCTTACAACGGCGGAGCTTTCAACTACTTTGGTGTCCAATACAGCCGCGAGTGCTTCTGCGGCTGGGATGTGAAAGCGTCCCAAACTTCTGCCTCGGAGTCAGACTGTTCTATGCCATGCGCTGGCTCAAAGACCGGCCTGTGCGGAGGTGGAGCGAGGCTGTCGGTCTACAGCAACACGATCCCGAACAAGGTTCCTTCCGCCCCTCAGCATGTTCCCCAAGCTGGTAACTACAAGTTCTTAGGTTGCCAGACTGAAGGCAGCAACACTCGCGCCTTGACGGGTGCTTTCACTGCCTCGGATACGATGACTGTCGAGACCTGCGCCACCTTCTGTTCTGCCGGCAACTGGCAATACATGGGCATTGAATACGCCCGCGAATGCTTCTGTGGCAACACCACGAACGCTGGATCATTGCCAGCTGCCTTGAAAGACTGCAATATGCTCTGCAAGGGCAATACGCTTCAATACTGTGGTGCCGGTGGGCGTCTGGACCTTTACATGTTTTCCCCGGCCAGCTCCGGCTCGTCTTCAAGCACAGTGGCATCGACTACCTCCACCATTGTTAGCTCATCATCCACCCTGGTGTCAACGTCGTCTGTTCAGACAACCTCATCGATCGTTAGCTCAAGCTCTTCTCCTTCGCCGGTGTCATCTTCATCGACCGACCTTCCTTCAAGCTCTTCCTCCAACGTCCAGTCTAGCAGCGTATTGTCTACTTCCACATCGGCTGCATTCACAGGGCAAACTGCCAGCGTTTCGTCCAGCTCGAGCGCATTCACTTCGTCGTCTTCTTTGCCAATTGTCAGCAGCTCTTTGCAAGTCTCTAGCTCGTCTAGCAGCTCCAGCTCCTCCTCCATTCTCTCGTCAAGCTCTTCATCCAGCTCTGTCGTCGTGGCATTGACAACCACCTCCGTCAGCAGCAGCTCTTCCGCAGCGCCGCCGACATCCTCTTCCTCAACCATTCCCGTACCGACTGTCCCCGCATCAACCACGGCAAGCAGTTCTTCCCTTGCTAGCACCACTGCCGCTCCGGCTGCCACACCCACAAACGGCTACTACTACATTGGTTGTTTCCAGGATAGCAATGCGGGACACGCACTGCCCGGACTGTTCGCCAACAACAGTGGCACACCCGAGCTTTGCATTGGCTACGCCAACTCGCTCTTCAGCAACTCGCCGACCTCGACGACCAAGCTGTCGTATGTGTTCATGGAATACCACCACGAGTGCTACGGCGGTAGCAACTTCGAATTCAATGGCGCCGCCGTCACGTCATTGGTCGGACGCGGTGCCTGCAAGGATTACTGCTACGGAAGCGTCAGCACATTCTCGACGAACGGTGTGCTCACGACGACTACTGCCACTAACAACTACTGTGGCGGACCACGCATGTTTGACTTGTACGCCCTATCGACTGCCGTGGCCTGGCCTACAACTGGCGGGCCTCTGGTCACGCAGACAGTAAACTGATGGGTCGAAAAATTTAATGTTTGAAAATTTATTGCATAATAGTGGTCCATCTTAGAAGACCTCGGACCTTTTCAGCATGTTACTTTTTACATACCCAGGCATACCCTTAGACTGGATGCCGCACAATCACTTGTATATCTAGACTTCGCTTCAAATTCATACTATCTTGTTCATATTACGTTATCGGTTCATGTGCTTGAGATTTGCTTCCTCGCTCCATAGACCAAACTGAACCACAGTGACCGAGACCAAGCGTTGCTCTCTACACATTCTTGATTAGGGTGTCACTCATGATCATGAGTTATCTAGACGTCCGCGGCATCAAAGTTGCGAATGAGATCGTAGTAGAATCTCAGTATCTCCATGTGCGCGTCGAATTTGATCCTCTCATCGATGGTGTGGGCATTGATGGTGTACCCATTGCGGATGGGCACGAAACGGTAGACATTACGTGTAAGACCTGTCCTTTGTTAGCTCGTCACCTATATCTCCGGGTTTAATACCAATTGCTAATGGAAAACCTACTCAGGTAGTGCCTCGTGTCGGTGTTTCCCGTCATCAGCTCGCCCACAGGCACGACTTTGCCACCATCAAACTGGAAGCTGGACTGCAGCGTTCCCGAGAAGAGGTCCCAGATCGGGCCCGTGGTAGGCGAGATGGGCGCAGGCAGCGTCGCCTGGGTGCGGCTGAGGAACAACGTGCCGTTGTAGTCGACGTCGTACAGGGGCTTCACGCCATCCTCGAGCTTCTTCGTCGACCCAACGTCCTTTGACGCGTGCAGCGCAGCGTACTTTGCGTACTCCTCGTCGCCCTCGAACGCCTTGATCTTGATGCCGTACTTTTCGGCGATGCTGCTAATGTACTTTACGACATTGTGCTGGATCTTGGGGATGCTGTTCTGCGGCGCGACGCGGTAGTTTACGCCGACTCTGATCTTTTCCGGCATGGCGTTGATCTTTTGGCCGGCTTGGAAGTAATCTACGCTCTGCGAGGTTTGGAGGCGGTAGTGCGTCGGCCTATCGATGGAGATGAGCTCCGCCGCGAGGGCGTCGAGGTCGCCCTCCTCCAGGAGCTGTGTGATTTTGGGCTGGGCGAGGGGCGAGTAGCGCGCCTGGCAGACCATGTGCTCGTACAAGGGGGAGGAGGTTGTGAGTTGCGGGGCGTAGGGGTTCGATTCGAGGGCGACGACCATTTCGGAGACGATGCCGATGCCGGTGTGGGGGAAGGGGACGGAGGAGTGGCCTCCTGTTACGTGGAGATTGATCCAGATGTCGACGTGGCCTTTTTCCATGACGGCTGGCAGGGCGTAGAGCGTGCCGGAGTCGAGTTGTTGGAGGCCCATGCCGCCTTCGTCGAGGACGAGGGCCATGCTGTCGTTGCCCCATGTCTGTTGGAGGTGCGTTGCGATGTGGCCTGCGCCGCGGGCGCCGGAGCACTCTTCGTCGAAGCCGGAGGCGAGGATGATGGTGCGGGTTGGCGTCCAGGCGTAGTTGCCGGAGCCGTCAGTGTCCTTGAAAGACAAGAGAGTCTCGAGGGCGGAGAGGAGGGCCGTGAAGGAGTTCTTGTCGTCCGAGACGCCGCGGCCCCACATCCATTCGCCGTCGTAGTGGGCGGAGAAGGGCGGGTATGTCCAGGTGGCGGCGTCGGCTACGGGGACGACGTCTTGGTGGGCTGCGAGGAGGAGGGGTTTGAGGGAGGGGTTGGAGCCGGGGAGGGTGTAGACTAGGCCGAAGGTGTTTACTTTTTGGAGGGTTGAGCGGGCGTGGCTTTTGGGTGTTAGTTACTTCTTCCTTTTTTGGAAATTTCAAGAGGGTAAAAGAAGGAGAAGGAGGAGGAGGAGGAGGAGGGAGAGAGAAGATGAAGGAGGAGAACGGGGGGGCTTACAAGACGGGGTACGTCTTCTTCAACACGTCATGAAGTTCGTAAAACACGTTCCAGCGCTCGTCCTTGTCAAAGTCACCTAGGTCGTCGTAGCAGATTGACGGGACGCGGACGAGGGCTGTGTGCCGCTCGACTTGTTTTTGGACGGCGGCTTTGGAGGTGAAGAGGTCGCGGGCGGAGGGGAGGCCATCGGAGGGGGCTACGGGGGGCGGTAGGTCGCATTTAAAGGAGGAGGCTGCATTGTTGGGACCGGAGCCGGTGCCAGTGCCGGCGATGGGATCGGGGACGTCCTCGGTCTCGATGAAGGGGTATTGGGGCTCGGTGTAGAATGGGGAGGAGGAGGTTGCGAGGTTGGCGGAGAGGAGGGTTAGGAGGAGTTGAGTGCGCATTTTTGGGTGTGGATTTTGTCCCGAGGACTCGGTTTCTGGAGGGAGATGTCTTTTTTGGTACTGATTGGAAGCTACCTTGGGATGAGGTGTCGTAGACCAAGTCAATAGTCCAGAGCTTGTGAGCTTGCGCAATCCGGGGCGCTGATGGGCGTTGATGGATTATGGTCAAAGGTATGACTAGCGATCACCACCACTTGACTCCGCAAAATGTCGAGAATTGAGAGAAAGGGAGGAATCACAGCAAAAGAATTGCCATGCGGGACTGGGTGAACGTCATTATGTATGCAGTCACATCAAATCCATATGCCGTGCCGGGCTCATTGCGTGATAGCTAAACCCCAAGAGCTCCCAACGGGTGCCATCCTCCCAGCTTTCCCCCGCCGAGATAGGAGTATGGCGGGGTTCCCATTGATAACGGCATTGAACCCCAGTCATTGCCGAAGCCGGGTGTCGGGGGCCCGGGAATCATTAGCTGCCAACGAGTGAGTCTGTTTTGTTCGAGGCCGGTGCCGATACGGAGATGTCGGAGGGACCTCCCAATGGGACGGGAGGGGAGGTTTGTACATGGAGAAGGGGAGCATTGAGTAAATGATGTGCTATCATGCAATCGTGCTATGGGGATGGATTTGCGTGTCGGACAGATGCCGCGGGCAACTTTTTTGGTTTGTGGGACCTTCCTCATCGGAGCGTGGAGGTTTGAGGCCGTGATGTGATTGGTTCATGATGATTGCGAGTCGGCTATCGTCCGGCTGGTGGAGGCGGTCGTCGGCTATTTTGATGATTTTGGGGGAAGTTGTGTCTCTGGGGACTGATGATATGCGGGTGAAGATGTTAGGATAGATGGAAGTGGTTTTCTTTCTTATTCAGTGCTCAATTTCTTTTTCGCAAATCTCAGACAGCAGGTGAGTCCTAACGGGAGTTCTGTTGGCTATCGCAGGTTCGATGGTTGACAACGGTCCCGGCGCCCGGGGCCGTTTCCAGTGTTTGTACCCGGACCGCCGGTTTCGGCGCGGAGTTTCCGGCCGATGTGCGGGGCCTTTCGGCCATGAACGCCCAGCGCCGTGACGGACTCACTGTTGCTACCGATGAATCTGCCTCGATCAGCCAATATCTATGATGGCATTTAAACGGAAAGAAACTCTAGCTTTCCTTGTTTAGTTGCCGTCACTTCGCGACTAAATCTACTCCAGGCTAAGAATATCGAGCTGCCAAATGCTGTCCTGTTGATGTCACCACGTGAATAGGGCACTCACGCTAGGCTGTGCTCTCATAAATATCCTGGATGGTTTTCCAAAACTGAAGAGAAGTTCCAGAAGGTCATTGTGAAGGAAACACGTCTCGTAATGAAGGAGGAACTCGCGTCCTCGGGGGACTTCATCTGAAGATGAAGCAACAGGGTAGGGGATGAGACACCACAATGACGTTCGGCTTTTTTGCCATGTTGTGGAATGTTGAGAATGCGCTTATGATTCAAGGCTGGGACCATTCTATCAAGCATTTCATCTTTGGCTTAGGGTTGGTCGAGTTGCCTGCTTCACATCGTCGCCCACGACGAAATCAATGCACCGTGCTTGTGCCATCACGTACCTACTGACTTACCTTACCCTAAGAGTCAGGCAAGTAAGACCATCCGCCTGGTAAAATCTAGAGTTCTCCATTACACATACTGGTACGATGACTGACAACGGCAGCATGACCCAACATTCCAGGCGGAAACGTACAGGCAGATGTGCCTGCGGTGTCCGAATGCTTCCTATGCCTCTCCTCTATTCTTGACGATGACTTGGGACTCTAGATACAGACCGGCGCCAAATACCTTACTGGTTCCAAGATCTACGGGCTTACGCCTTAGCTGCTTGTCAAACCGCGACTCGAAGACCGCAAGCGTTGGTACTTCTGAACGAATGCGACATCCCAAACGTGATAAGTGATACTTAACTTGTGAGGTACCGATCCCCTCTGGTGAACCTGACCCTGAGCCAAAGATAGGCTTCACAACTCTTTTACTAATTACCGCCGGTAAGTTACGGACCAACCAGAGCTGCAGAAGCAGAGTGATTCGTAATGCTGACGAGTTGACCCCAGGCACCCTGAAAGTGGTCTCTGCGGGTGGTGACCAAACAAGTTCTCTGAACCTTGCTTGTTCATCTCCTAAAGTACCGATGTTCTAGTCACAATGGATACAACGGCGTAGCCCCGGACATACACTCGTGTCGTCCCGAAGACTGATAGTCAAACTCCGGGCCCATGGTTCGCTAGCTATTTGCCTTGTTAATGTCGGGGAGAGCAGTTTCATGTTAGGTAAAGCGAGAACGACTTGTGAACGTCGATGCCGTGGTCCTGATGAACGCAACGCCTTGAGTAAGCCACGTAGTCTGACCGTTCAGGTCATGGGTTCCATGTGGCGTACCAGCGGCCGTCTTTGGAGGTCTGAGAAGCTGCAGCGTTGGGCTGGGTGAGTACATAGAGATGGCGTTCCTCTCAGTGAACTCTGTCGCCGCAAGGTACCCAGGTGTCTGAGACCTCATTTGCCGAACTCATTGCCTCATACTCTCAAAGGGATCGACGCCGGGAGGCCTATATATGTTTCGTTCATTTGTAGATCCTTTGAGTCCCAGCCCCGGGCTGCAGAGCAGGTCACCAAGTATCGGGTAGTTCTCTCAGGGATCCCACCCCGGGGCGGGCATGGCTGACAATCTTCGCCCACGCTCTGCAATATCCCTGACCCGGCCGTTTGGCTGGATTCCGCCGCCGTCGCGGCCTTTGCAGGATGTCCGTGTCTTGTTGTCGCCCAGGCGGGTGCTAGCTGGTCCGGTTTGCCAAGAATCCCCAGTCAGTCCGAAGTTCCAGGCCGGTAGGGCTGCGACAGCTGATGACTCGGCGGTTGCGGGCGGGCAGAAAGAAGAGATGGAAATCGACGTCAATTACCGATTGGGGGGGGTGGGGGGGGGGGGGGGGGGGGGGGCAGGCTCAAGCTTTGGACGGACGGGATCTGCGGAACAGAGAGAGAACACTGCGTTTTCGAATTCGCACCGCTGCTACTTGATAAATGCCAGCATGGCCTGCTTGTCGACGGCCGTTGACGGTGTCCGATACATCGGAAGAGGCATGGGAAGCCTGCCCGTCCGGTCTTTTATCAAGGTTTCAACGGCCGCCCGTCTCCGATAGTTTATGTTTCGTTTCGGACGGATGCCGCAGAGAAGGGGTGTACGAATAAGTTTGGGGCGTCCTCTTTTTTCCAAATTTCTCTAGAACTTGGCGCGCTGGGGGGTTATTGTTTAAACTTCTCTCCCACCGGCCTTTGCCCACGCGAACTACTATCCGCAACAAAGTGCCCAGCCGGCCGGATGCAGCAAATCTCTTTCTGGGCGTTTACTAGCAGCGATCAACAAGGCGAGATCTTTTTTGCAAGGAAAAGCTCTTTCTGTCAGTTTTTTAAAGTTTCGACTCCCCCGCGAAATGATTTGCAGCTGTGGATTCCCGCGATTTTTCCTCGCCTTACGCACCCCTGGTTCTTAGCCGATCGTCGTAAGGGATGGTCTTTTTTGGTGGAGGTTTTTTTTTTTTTTTTTTTTACGACTTGTGATGACTTTGCATCAGACCACACCATTTCAAAAATTCTCCAGTTCGGACGTGGTTGTGTTGTGCATCTGGTCTGAAAGAAGAGAGTTACACGTGGTGGTATAATGGATGGTGGGATGGAAGTTGGGACGTTGGTATAGCTGACGAATTACGCAAGAAACATAAATCAGACGAGGGGGAACATGAAGAATTGAGGAACCCGTCGCCTTCGTATTCCCCGGATTCGGTCATTGTCGCCAGGAAACGAGACACAACGTTTCACGTCAAGACGCAGATTGTCACGATTACGTCGGTGCGAGAGGGAGGGTATAATGGGTGAAGAATAAGTATTGAACATTGAAGTGTGCGAAACTTTGTACAAGAACATGCAAATCCCAGGATTTTGTTGCGGTCAAGCCCTTCGTGTGAAACTTTGGGAGATCCGTTTCCGAGTCATCTCGTCTTTTCTCTCGTCCCTTCCGTCTCGTCTCAAAAAGGCTGACCGGGTATCAGATGCGAGTCCGACTGTCTACTCTAAAACTCTAAATTCCACTTTAGAAGCGCTTGCGAAGAGCCCGCTTGGCGTTGCGCTTGCAAGGGGCCTATTGAATGAGAAGGTTAGCTGATTGTGAACTACATTGTAACTGTTTCAATCCGAACTCTACTCTGGTAGTGAAAGAGCCTCGCAAAGATGGGACGTTGGTTGTGTAAGACTTACGGAAGAAGAGGGGGTAGCGGAGGGAGTGGCGGAGACGGGGTCGGCGGCCTGGTCGGAGCTGCCAGAGGCAGGGGTGGAGGGGGTAGCGGAAGCGACGGCCGAGGTCACGAGGGTGGTGGGAGCGGCAGAGGGGGTAGCAGAGCCAGAGCCAGTGCCGGAACCGGAGCCGGAGGTGAAGTCGACGCAAGACATGTAAGTCTGGCCGGCCTCAGCAGAGTCCCACCACCACTGGAGAACGCAGTTGCCGGCGGTGCCGCAGTTGGAGGGAAGGGTGTCGGGGAGGGTGACGCTGAAGGCGGTGTTGTTGGCAGCGATACCGGTCTTGGTGGAGGCATAGTTGGTGAAAGAGATCAAGGGAGATCCGATGATGGAGTTGCTGGTGGTGTCGACGACGGAGACGTTGGCGACACCGGTGTGGGGAGCGCGGATCTCAACCTTGAAGTCGACGGTCTGGCCGGCGGTGTAGCTCTGGATGTTGGCAGAGTTGTCGGCGAACTTGTAGCCCTTGCACAGAGCGAGCTCGCACTTGGAGGCGTCGAGGCTGCTGCCGGCCTGCTGGGCGAGGCCCTGGATGTTGCCGTACGGGTCGGACTGCTCGGTGTTCCACATGGTGGTGCCGCAGGCCTCCTTGAAGGCATCACCGGCGGGGCGGGGAGTGGGAGAGGTGACCTTGCCGTGGGCCGAGACGGCGGCGACGAAGGAGAGAACGGTGAGGATGTTGGACTGCATTTTGACTGATTTCTACACGGTAGATTTGGGTCGGGTTTTTTTGGTATAAAAAGAGGGTTTGACGGTTGGGATTTTGTCTTGCAATGTTCTGTAAAAAGCTTCAAAAGAATGGCTTATGTCTAGCACAGCTGTAAAGAGAGTGTTGAAAGAATGAACGTGAATGGAAATTCGGACAAGTTTGGAATGGGACGAGGAGATCAGATCAGAGAAGACGGCAAGAAGAGTTTGAAGGCCATGGAGGATGGTCTTATACGGTTCGACTGGCAAACCCGTCTTTACGACTTGCCGTCAAAGTGGTGGGTGTCATGGGCGACCCAGTCCGGACCCAGCCACGGACCCGGAGCAATCTATGCAAGACGGCTTGTTGCGATCGAAGCTTTCAGGGGAACTGATAGTACCTTGCATGGTCATGGACTCATGGTGCAGAACGCACGAGAAGAGAAAAAGCGCAGGCCAACCTTGGGCAGCCAGGTAGTTGGACGAGACGGTGTTGCGTAGACCCTAGAGTACGGATGGACGCAAGCAACACCAGCAAGTAACCCTCCAACAGCCTTCCAAGAGACCAAGACGGCCACCAAGAGTCTAGAGACGTGATCCATCCGTGGTCCTGGAACATGGCAGCCAACGACCCCCAGTCAGCTCCATGTGGAGGGAATGGCAGCGATTGGGCGGATGACGGGCAGGGCTCCCACAACGGGCAGTAGTCGCCCAGTTGTTTAATTTGAGTGAGGCTAGGTGGACACTCTTTGGACCGAGTCTTGACCGTCTTTGGCTGACGTTCCTGCGCAGACGCCGTGACGCCCACGAGAAGTGACGAGGGTCGAATCTCGAGAGAGAGAGATGGGGAGGGGAGTGTGCACGCCGCACGACACCGTCTGACATGATCCTTGCCTCACCCTTCTCGCTCCTGAACCGGGATGGCTGAAACGGCGCCATCACGCATCTTTCAGGCGGCTCCGCCGTATGACCCCCACCGCCTTGCTGTTGTACTCGATTCGCTAGACGGTTGACCTCGTTCACGTTGTCGTAGTCGGGCTTGCTGTCGTTGCGGTAGAAATCACGGTCCATTCCTCGTCCCATCTTCGGTTCCTCGGCCTCTCGCATCTTCGATGACCTCAACGGGAGATCATATGAGGATCTTTACGACCTGGAACGTCCCTGCAAGCGAGAAATAAAAGGTCGATGCGCTCGTCGGGAAGCTGCCTGTCTCTACTCCGTAAAGGGGCATGACAGATCATGTTTGTCGCTCTCCACGTTGTTCGTGTCTCCGTCTTGGGAAAATTTTGAGTTACTGTGCGGGTAGCTGGCCTGTTTCGAGAAGCTCCCTCCGTGAATCAATCTCGACTGTTGGCAATCTATTGATGTGAACTGGAGCCGAGTGAGCCTGGCCTACCTTGGCCGTAGCCCCTTTGAAGTTCCAGCAAGGGCGAAGCGTGTTAGTCGAGACTTGACCGCATCAGTAATCGTCGCCCGGAACTAGCTACCGACTGGTAAACGGTACCGCGATAGTGGCGATACACTGCCGTTCAATCTGGATGCATCTCACATAGAATGAGATCCTTCACTAGTGCGACTTCAGCTTACCAGCTCCTTTGCGTAGATAGCATCACTCTGACACTCGCTGCGCAGTCTCATAGCCATACCACTCAGCGCATCTCTTCATCAACTTCAGACCAAGCCCGTTGTCCGTATGGACTCCGCCGTACCTGACTTGGCTCCCAGGTCGTGGGCCACTCTATGGCGCGCGTCACTCGAATACGCCAACGTATTCCCAATTCTCTAAGTGGTTCTCTCTTCTGTCTGCTTTTCGTACCCGGCTTGGCTGATTGTCGGTGTGCAGACTGGCTGCCCGCGGCCAGGCCAGGACGCCAGGTACTACCAGGCAGGGCGCTCATCGGGCTCGTTTCTTCTTCTCGCCTTCTTCGTCCGATCATCAACTGGACACATTGAAACTCACCCCCGTGTCCACATCGTGGATCCGAGGCAGGGTCAAGGGCGCTAAACCTTGTCCCATCAGCGGGTACCTGGGCCAGACCAGGCACAGGCTCCAGGCCCCCCCTCTTCGGCCCCTCCTCCTAGGCTCCTCCTGAACGGAACTGAGCCCGTTAGATTGGGCCGTTTGAATTTTACCTACAGGTGAGGAAGGGAGGAAGCAAGAAAGGGAAGGGGGGATGGGCGCGGATAGACAAGCGAAGAATATGGCTCCAGCTGTTTATGCGACGGAGAATGTGGGAGATGAAATGCAATTTTTTTTTTTAAATTCATGGGATGAAAGATGGAGAAACAGGAGCTGAGGCCCCTCCACATTCCCGTTGTGCCTCCCAAGACCTCCATCTGCTTGATTCGGTCAGTGACCGATTCTATCGGCCGAGTGATGATGACATAATCATACAAAAGATCTTATGAGTCTCCCCCCTCTCATTTTCGGTGGTCGGACGGTGGATCTTTTGGCTTTCGGGATGCAGCAGGATGTCGTCAGTAGCCGCGGGCCGGTATGAAGCAGGGCGCTTGGCTGGAAGAAAGCTTATAGATTGACTGGAGCTGTTTGATAGTGGTAGACCGTAAGTGCAGTGTGGATGTTCCAAATGAGATGCGTGGAAGGACCGATGAGATTCATGCGGGAAGTCGCCTACATCACGTCCATCTAATTACCTGCCTCCTGGGACTAATGAGAGTTGTTTCTAGGCCGAGTAGGCTCAAAGATAAGGGTGTTCACTACTACACCAGATTGACGAGTCTTTCTTATTTCTGTGTGAATATAAGGGAGGAGACTCAGACATGAATGCAATGTACGGGATAAGTCTGCGACTCAAAAGCCGGCTGTCATAGGAGAAACATCATCAGCAGCGCGAAATGAGACTCACGAATCGTCCTTCGCGATCGGACAGTCAACTCCTGACGCTCACTCACTACTTGTAATGCTATACAGTTTGTCTGTATCTTAGTGATTTGCTGCCCAGAGGCTCCAGGACTCACTTGAGTAATGGCTTCGCTAGACAGCCTTGACTCAGGCGATGTTCGTTGAGTGCTGCTGTTCTTAGCAGAGCATCCAAAGATCTATCGTCATGAGTTTCGATTGCTGTACTTACGATCCCCGCAGATTTTAGGCCGTCTTAAGTTGATTATGCTTGAATCGGCAGTGCACTTTCTTCCCCGGCCGCAGCTATGAGTATTGAGTCCCACCATCAGATGCCGCGTCATCCGTCCTTCGCGCCCGGCGCTCAATCTGACACGGCCCTTGCAGCTGCGACGCCGCCACTGGACAAGCCTAGCTATGGTTCCGGCCGGAATCTCATTCTCCTAGTCGCCATTGCGGCCTCCCTGATCGGCTCTGTTGTCAGTGCCTTGTCTTGGCCCCGGAGGTGTATGTTGTGATTGTCGGGCGGATACCGGCTTTGTGAATAATCTTCGACTCAGCGCGGCGGTCAATTAGCGATTCTCATCAGGTAAACAAGGTCCGTACCATGACCTGATGCTGAAATTACATATTGAATCCAAGCTGTTCGACAATTTCCACTCAACAAGCTCAAGAGTAAAGCACGTTTCGTAGTGTTTTCGGTGTTATGTTGACAACCAGCCATAGCCTCGTGTCCCGCGGCGCTTCCTCTTAAGATGGGTGCCTCCTGAGGATAATGACAGTCGACTCATCGAGTCCCGAGTACATCCTGACATATTGCCCCCCTTTACTTGGACTTTATCGAATCTTGTTTACTGACACGACCTGGTCATTGTCCGTCAAGCTCATGCGACCTGCTCACATTCCGCTGACCGCTCATCCCCGACCTCGCTAACAGGGAATGCGAGTACTGCTTATTGTCGTCGGGCGTGTAATACTGCCCTTAAAAACTGTAACCTATGGTGACTACATTAGCATTTCTTATCTTATTACATGCCGACGTAACGGAGAAAGCACCGGGAATTCAGATCATCGTGGGAAACAACAGAACAAGGGAGGCGAGTCAGCCGGCTACATAGGAAGTACGTGGGCCTGGCAGGTTGATCGCAGGTCTACTTCAGTGATATTGCAACCTAGGAAGCGGACCCGTTATGTGAGGGTTCAATATGCCCAGTCACAATGTGGACAGTGGCATTGATAGTTGTAGTGCTGCTACCTTCGCTACCTTGACGTTGAAAGAACTATAGACTTTGAATTGACAGGAAGCCAAAAGCCGGATAGCTTCAACTCCTTCGACAATATGAGAATGAACCCATCCGAACTCTCTTGAAAAAGTAGAGCCTGGCCATGTCTATCCTGTTAACCCCATCTCATCGACTTCCGCTTCCAATTCTCTCTGTTGGTATACACGTCAGCAGGGCAACCGTACGGTTGGAACGAAGTGTCAATAATGGTCTATTATTGCTGCGTCTAGAGGTGGAAGGAGGAGATTGTGGGCAGAGCCCACGATCTCCCAGAAGTGGTATATAAGTGAAAGGGCCGTTTGTAAGTGCCTATACCGCCTTCCGGATCCATCTTTTCTGCCGACTGCTCAGAGATCCAACACTCTCTCTGCCTGGTTCAGCCCACCTATCCACTCTTCCACACTCTGCAGCTCCTTGGGCGACAGCTCGGCGTAGGGCTTCCTCGGCACGCCTCCATAACCTGTCCAGTATCTGATTGCCGCCTTCATACTCACGATCCCCTTGACAGAACCGAATAAGTCCGCTGTCGCGATGTCTTCCTCCAGACGTGCCGCCTCACTAAACTCCCTCCGGCAAGAGAGCTCTCTCACGCGCACACACGTATAAGGCGCGAGGTTAGCGAGCTCCACGGTACTTCCGTTACTTCCGTCCGCCTTCGCCTCGAATACCTGGTGCTGCAGGATGTATCTGGCGCTACTGCTGGCGACAAAGAACCCTTTAGGCAAGTCGTATGCCGCCCGCGCGATTGTACATGTATATGGTAAGTTGTCGTCCTCGAGAGTGACGACGACGACGTTGGGGTGCTTCGCGATGCGGCGAAGGGCGTCCGAAGTAAGAGCTGTGGGTTTCAGTCCCGCTGCCACCATCGGGGGGTTTTGAATGACAAGCGGGATAGGAGACTTGTCCGCGACGTCGTAGAAGTGCTGGATAATGATATCATCGTCGTCGAGGGAAGAGGCATAGTAGCTTGGAGGTAGTACCAATGCGTGATACGCGCCGCTCTCAGCTGCGTCCTTGCAGAGTTGAAGTGCTCCGCGCGTCGACTGGGCTCCACACGCGGCGATCAATGGAGGGTTGTGACTACTGAAATCGGTGTGACATTCTCGGTGGATGGTGTCGGCAGCGCACCTGATCATGGTGTTTCGTTCTTCTCTTGTCAGGTGCTCTGCTTCGCCGATGGAGCTATGAATGACGATGCCTGCTACTCCTGCTTTGATGATTCTGGTGAGATGAGTCTCGAGGGTTCTTGTGTCGATATCCTCGGATTCTGTAAAGAAGGCGAGAGTGGGGGGGTATATTCCGCCAGGGAGGCGAGGATGCGTTGCTTTGGGTGCCCCGTACGAGGGGTCCCGTCTGCGGGCTTTTATCCCGGTTGTCAGCCGGCATCGTTGTTGAGAATGTGTTGAAGTCAATATTGTACAGAACTATGGCAAGTGCATAAGGTCAGGAATTTTAGCAACATCAATCAGAAAGGCCAAGAAATCGAGAGCGAACCGGGCAGCTCGCAATTTTATACAGCATACTTGTAACGAAACCACCCGGGGTCTCGGAGTGAACTTCGCCTTATCAAGTATCAGGTGTTAATTTGACGGGGCTCGCATATGAGCAAAGTTCAATATGGCTCCTGAGGTGCATTTCGGTGAACATGTGGCGTTGCGAGAAGTTGGGCAGTAGTTCCAAGGTTTGGGCGGGCATGGAACGACGTTGGAGTGGCTGCTGTGCCAATGGCATATTCTCCCTATTTCGAATGCGCCGCCAGACGGTTGAGAGTGTGAAGTCGAGGGTTAGTTCAGTAGGTTTCCGGTATTGGCGCATCACAAGGTGCGCCACCACGATATCTGAAGAACCCATCCGGTCACTCCCTTCTTCTCGCAACCCTTACAGAAACCTAACGCCTGACGGTTTAAAACAGGAAAGATCATTCTGCATATAAGATTGCTACCATGTCCAGAGCTGAGAGCTCTAGCTTGCGTCAAAGTACGCTCGATACATTAAGCTGCATACCCGGTGAACGCTTACCAGCGTCACGCGTGCCGGCCGTGCCAGTCTAGGTACATGTAGTACCTTCAATATTCGTAAGCTCATTTCTTAATTTGCAGGAGTCCTCAACCCATTGCTTCAATCTTCAATTATACATGATTCGGACTGAACTAATCGGGCCGCGAGGGTCCGAGGGATAAATCTTAATCACGTTCCAAGGGCTGGAAGAGTTGTCGATGGTCCCACAGCTATGTTGTAAGCCCATGATACCGGGGACATGTCCATTCATAAGACGTCGAATTATACCATCGAGAAACCCTTTTGTATAGATCCAAGATTCAAACAAACTTCGTTCCCGGTAACATAGAGCATGCCTGTGCTGTACTGTCGTCGCCCACCTCACTTCACATGGGTCTGCAATGCATGGGGTCTTCTTCTCACGATTGGCCTACCTATCACATCTCCACATCACACTGCATCCGCAATATGGATCACCGGCGTTGTGGCAGAGTGGTCTAATGCGCAAGACTAGAAATCTTGTTCCTTCGGGAGCGTCTGTTCGAATCAGGCCAACGTCGATTACTTTTCCTTTCCTGGCGCAGTTGAATTGTGTCAAACCGCAAGCATGTTTTGAAGTTTTGTGGTTCCAAGTGTCAGTCGAAAAGACGAAGTAAGACGTTGCGCTAAGGCAGTCAGCTAAGTTTTATCGTACACGCATTTAGTGTATCAGTATTTCTAAAGTTTTTGAAGACGAACTCCATATGCCGTTCAAGAAGGTATACATATCTATCGTTGATATATGTTCATGACTCTTCAAGAATCCAAATTAGTAGTACTTCTAACTTGGAAACCTTCGAATTGTGGCATATTACTTTCACCAATTTTCGAACAAAACGTACTTATACCATCTTTACTTTTCAAGTACGCGGCCGAGAAAAACATTCTTCTAATCTCGAACTACCTAGTACACATACATCAGCTCTTGTGTAACCTCACGGGTGTCTGCCCCAGAACCAGGTTAAAGAAACTCCGATCAACGCCCCGTCCTGTATATCTCTCTTCATCTCGGACTCGAACCTGTCCATGTCTCGGGTAGTCTGGAGAGTGTCGACGCCTCCAGATTCAAGTATAGATGGCATTACAGGCCTAGAAACCTCGGTGGCTATCTTTCTCATCGACTCTCGCATTATACCCTCAACGCTGAAAGTGTTCCAGACCTTCTCATCGACATCAGTAAAACCAGCATCTCGAAGCACGAGGGGAAGTTGAGCGGGCATGCTGTGTCTAGTTATCAATACCCGCAGGGTGAGAACACCAAGACTGCCTTGTGTCTAGATAAAGAACTTTGTGAAGGACTTACAATGGATTACGGCCGACTTTGATCGACCACATCAACCTGATCCTAGACCACTCGTCGAAAGCGTGGCTAGGTGGGACGTATTTCCAGGACGTGTCGCCTGCTTCTTCCCAGTGAATGTATCCCCCGGGGAGCAACAGTGTAAACGCGTTAGTAGCCAAGGTCTTCCAGTCTTCTTTCCGCATTCCAGACCCAATCAATCTGATGTGTACCATGTCGAACGAACCGCGCATTTCTTCTGGGAAAGACTTCAAAGCATTATGCTGCAAGAGAGAGATATTTGGAGGCAAGGTCGATGGAGGCGGAAACTTGGTGGTGTCCATGTTGATACCTCGTAACTCGGCGGAGGAGGGAAGCAACTGGGCCATGTCTCTCAGCCAGATGCCGGTGCCAGTCGTGGTCTCGGCGACCCGGGGGTTCTGTTGCTTTTTGAGATGTGTCAGAATTTGCTGGGGACAGAGACCACCGCAAAGAGGGAGGAAGATGTTTCTATGATTGCACTCGAGCCGCTCGCGCTCTTTGGCGAGGCCGCCGCGGTTAAGGGCTGGACGCTATCTTGGTCTTTGTTCCATGGCTCCAAGCCAGCGTACGACTGCGGATGGGATACTGTTGCCATTGTGCAAGAGTTTTTCAGCAAAGGTTATATGTATCGTCGAGACTTTTACCGACAATGGGCAGTACAATGGTAAGTGTGTAGGGACCAAGAGCCTTTTATAGACCAAGGTCACACGAAACTGAGCTCTTAACCGAGGTAGTAATTGAGTTGAAGACAAGAGAAGCTTTGGCCAATCGCTCGAGGAATTGCTATCAACGTTGAGCTGTATCTACACATTAGGCTCTCGGGACTTGGTCATCAGGAGCGCGATTGGTGGATGATGTGTCATTCGCGCATAGTTCTGATTGTTCGAGAACAGTCTAAGATGCGGCTCAAAAGACAGGCTCTAACCCAGCACCCTTGGCATCGCCGAGTTCGGTTCCGGCATGCAGTCTCGGGCTTAGGCGCTACAATAGGCACTTGGCACATGTATGAAGTTGAAATGTGTCGCGACCGCAAGCTTGCGTTGAACTAGTAAAGAAAGTCATCGCCACCGCTGTATGTGGGCATCGTCCACGTCTTAGCAGGAATACATCAGTCGCCCTCAAGATATTCTCGGGAATGAGAAACAACAAGCGGCTCTGTGAGCTAATTGACTTGCAACACCACACGTATATAGCACGCCGTAGTTGTCAACATGAACGGACCCGTCCATGCCATCTTGAATCTATTCTTGGCGTCTGGAGATGATGCCGGACGCAAATCCCAAGGAGAAGGACTAGGACAGCAGAACTCAGAATATGACCTCGCGAGTCTGATGCATTCCTCCATCAAGAGAAAAAGCTGCTCCATGATCGATATTTCATCACCGTTCCCGTATGTCTAAACCCATGTACGAGCGTGGAACGAGAGGCCCGTGATAGTGGAGAGAGGATCGAGCCTTCCTGGATGGCAACCCGCCAGACCGCCATACCACCAGAAGCAGACAAATGTCGCAATCACTCTTCACTCCGCTCAAAGCCGACACTGTCGACTGGCCCCAGTGGCCAAAGGTATGTCATGCCAGAACGTGTCGAATATTTCCAACACGGTTCCATGAGATACTGAAAGTCTAAACCCTCGCAACAAAGTTGCAATATGCTAAGAGCATCATAATTGTGAGGGGAAAAGCTCCTCCGAGCAGGGGAGACTTTTTCGGGCTCCTTGCCCTTTTATAGACCTCTCGGTTCTTCTTTCTATCAAGGTGTAACCGTTACCAAAATGTCTGTTGAACTTACTTTTATGATCCCGCAATTTTGCGGGTACCAACTCTCACCAAGGGTTCAGTGTTCGGGGGGGACAAAATGGAAACATCGTCCGCATCCAAGGAGGAATTGTGCCAAAACCTTTAACATCGACACAGTTTCAAGCAGGATAACCACTCAGCCGCAGAACCTTGCACTGTGGCACGCAGAGTAGCAAGACCTGGTAGGAAAGAGAGGCCGGAGTGGAGGATAGGAGTCAACTGTTTACACAGTTGGGCACTTTACTAGCTAAGGTAGGTAGTCAAGGTACATGAACCATGAATCTCGGGTTTCGCCCGAGCTTGGAGACGAGACCACAGATCCAAAGGGGTAGCCTCGAGACACAGACATCCACCGGCAGTCATGTGGATACTGGCGCCGTAGCCTCCGTCTCGGGACGTCCCGACCGGGATCGACGTACCCAGAATCCATGCTTCCGGGCTATCGTCATCTCAGCCGTGCGACGCTCACGTCAAGTGACTCTTGGCAGAAAGAGCCATACAAGACATCACAGCCTTTTGGATTTCAGCTCGGAAAGTCGGGCATGTAATTCGAGTCGCAAGCAGTGCAGGCTTCTTCAGCCTTTGGATGGGGGCCTTTGTGGCCGAGAGCTGAGGTGTAAGTTCTCCTAGTATAGCTGTGGCGTTGAAACATTCCGGAGCCGGCGTTGGCGCGCGCGGCGCTTTATCGGCAATTCAACGATGCCACGTTGTGTATCTGGTAGTTTTTTGGGCGAATTATTCAAGCCGTGATGTGATTGTGTCTCCCAATTGTTGACTAGCACGTCGATGCCGAGCTATAAAATGCCTGACCCGGTCCCCTTGGCCAAGTTTGCTATCCCATCTACCTAAGAGTCAAGACAGAATACGGCAAAGATTGACCAGCAATCTGGCCCAACTCCTCGAAAATCAAACAAAATGAAGCCTCTGCCTGATAATATCACGGAGTTCATGAAGGCGAACTCCGACTCCTTCCCAGAAGCCTTTGTGACCTGCTGGAACGACACTGCAAGCGACAATTACCAGATGAGCGTCCACGATTTCGAGCAATTCCCATGTCTTTACTACAATAATTGTGATTGCCCGAAAATGGAACCAAAGCCGGATATCGCGGGGAAGTGTGTGAGTTAGAAATTCCAGACACCCAGATTCAACATGATTGTTTTGCTGATTTTGTTCACTGTGTCCAGGTAGTGATTGCGTTCACTATGACTGCTTTCTTTACTCTATGTTTATCAATATACTGCTTCATCGTCGGACGTACCAACGAACAGCGACAGACATTCAATCCGGTCGACCGGTTTGTTCGCAGACGCATATCTGAGCCTCTCCGCCACTTCATGTATCGGATGGGTGTCAACCCTGACTTACAAGCTCTCATCGCCTACGATCTCGTCAATACTTTTAGCGACCTTCAGCTTGTGACAGGCCTCGCCATTTTAGTTGCCGGATTCACAGAGATAGCCCAACGCAAGATCTCGGTTTACCATTTTCTCATCGTCACTGACCTCGCATGGTTCTGTACCAACTCTCACCTGCTATCGCTGGTAGTCACTCGAAACATGAGAGATAGTGTCAAGAGAACGCATCCGGATCGTTACAATCGCGAGCAAACCGAACTTGCAGCACGTCTCAGTCGCGCCCTCCGGATCCTATTGATGGTCTCCACATTTGCATTCCTCATGTTCGCGTTCTGGGCCACTGGGTTCGAAATGGCCTATGCCTACTTGAGCTGCCCGATGGATTGCATGTTAGTCGAGGAAAAGGGGGGTGGACCTTGGAACCAGATGGTGGCCAACATGGTCTTAATGTCGTACTTTTATGCCGTACAGATTTTCCTCACTTGGCGTACTGGTCGTATCTACTGGATGGACCACATCAGGAGGTTCCTTATTGACAAGCAAGGCCAGCCAGTCAACGTTCTGAACCCAGAAGTGGTTTTCAAGCGATGGACAGAAAACAAGGTGTGGAAGGTGCTGAAAACTTTGCCCCTTGGCTTGTGGTACTTTATCGCGTCTGAAACCGGGACGCTGCTTGGACTGACCGGTTATTTCACATTTGGGTTATGGTCTCTGCTCTTCGATCGATGGGCCGCACGCGTGCTCTTAGAAGGAGCCAGTGACGATGATGAGATCGTATTCAGCCAGCTCGTCCCACTGTTCTTACTCATTATCCCCTTCATGGGCATCTTTGAGTCCTATGCTCGACATTCGAAGGAGGTCAAGGAGTGTGCCACAGAGCTGGAAAGTCGGACATCGGAGGGATCATGAGGACAAATTTGTTTCATGCGAGTGGTGAACCTTGAGTAAGAACTGGGACGAAAAGGAAAGACACGGGGATACAGGGTGACGTACGAGATACCTATGACTTAGGCAAGGAGGAAGAATACCCAGAGATGCGGAATGCCATAATTCGCCGAACATCGGATTGATTTCGATTTAGAGAAAATGTCAGCTTTTTTGCACGGTCAAAGCAACATGGCGGTGTTCATCGTGTGTTTGCCGTCAGGGTTGGCCAGCACGTTCCCATCGTTGCCTCTTCCGGCGGTGTCACGGATCGTCGAAGCGTTGGCACTTTCAACCACCAAGAGGCGTACGAGGAGAAACCGTCAGCCGGCAAGGCAGATGTCCCATGAGACATGAAGAAGCCACACCAAGCAGAGAGTGGACATGAAGACGTCGAGATTTCACAGAATCCCTATGGGATTAGGGCTGAATGGGAGCAAGAAATGGGAACAGGCACCGACATTTGCCCAGCGCCAAAACGCTAGAGCGCGAAATGTCTCATTCCCCGGCCTTCACACACATGCCAATAAGAGTGCCACCCATTCCTGACACTTTTGCTTTGACGCTAATGTCCCGCCTCCATCAAGCTCTTCTAAACGCGTCCGGCGTAGCGGTGGCTGAGCGTAGGGGCGTGTTTTACAGGTTTCCCGGCACGAGATGATGAGAGGGCGGGCCGAGGATGCCAGGCAGTGTGCCTTTGCCATTCCAAACGAATGAGGGTAAGAATTTTGTGACGCAACTTTTCTTGAGATGCTTCAGAAGAAGCCTGCATGGTTCCTGGTACTCATGCAGCTCAGGGATCGCCACGATCAGTTGGCCTCCTGAAGGTATACGAATCTAGCCATATACCTCACTGGGTGAAACCAAAGGGCGGACCGTCAGCCTCCCGCCAAGCTCACATACACAATTCGAGGCACAAGTGCGTCGGTAGATTCGATATAAGACGACCGTCACTCTTTCCCAAGTAGGAGATTAAGGACCGGACGACATCAGAACGTTCATTCACCTCATAGATCACCGTCATCACTCACCATCGCCTCCTCTCGCCCGTGCCCACGGCTCAGACATCGCCCGCGGCCATATCAACCCGTCAATCACCCAGCACTTTGGCGACAACCCATCACCTACATTCACACGATCTCACATACACTCAAAATGCGTCCCTCAACCTACCTTCTCGCAGCCCTCTGCGCATCAGGAAACGCCCTCCAAGCCATCGACGTACCAAACCGCGCCAGCGAAGCCATAGCAGCCGCCAACGCAGCCATCAAGGACCGCCGCGACCTCAACGCCTGCAACTCCGTCGCAACCTCTCTCTTGCCCAAGATCACCGACGGGGTGCCCACGCCGCCCGCCGACGTGGCCGCCTACATTGCGCTCTCAGTGACCATTACGGACGCCTGCTCCGACCCGACCATCACGGGGTCCATCGGCTCCGCGTACTCAACCTACGCGTCATCGTACACCTCGTGGAGGGACAAGCATATCACCGACTTCCGCGCGCTGTGGCAGGCTTGCAGCGACGTTCCTGGCGCCGTTGACGTTTTGCCTACGGGTACGGATCAGTGTAGCTCCGTCGTGGCGCAGATTACCAGCGCGGGGCCGGTCAACGGCGGCGGGTCGGGGGGTATCGGATCGCACAACGCTGCCGCTAGGCCCATGGAGACTGGGGCGGTTGTTGCGGCAGCGGCTATGGCAGGATTTGTTGTTGCTGCTATTCAGTAAGAGCTGGTTTGACGCTTGCGGTGTGCGCCTTTGACTGAAGAACCGGAATCTGTAGGAAGTAATGGAGATAGGGAATGGAAAGTTTTATTGGCTCTAGTTAATACCTTGATTGAGGAGGAAGTAATGAGAATCATGACGTTACTGGGATTTGACGGCCTTTTCAAAGAGTATCAGACGTAAAGGAGAAATATAATTAGTACTTTCATTCCCCTCGTTGAAGCTATACGCCCGCTTCCACGTGGTATCTCAATGTTTCCTCGCATTTGACATTATCATTAGGTTTGTTTCCAAAATATCTACAAAAATCTTCTTCATCATAACAAGACGGCAAAATTCCAGTTCTCCACCGCCGAGTGCGACTTTTTCAAGTCTCTCTTCAACCAGCACCGAAGTTCCGCGGCGCCATTGATCATGACGTTGCCCCACGATACGCCGGTACACTGGGCCGACTTTGCGCAAATCTCCATGCAGTCGCCCATCGTGCTCGCCTGCGTGTTGGACATGTCGATGGCGCCGTCGTCGCCGCTGTAGTCGAGCCCGCAGAGCCGGAGGAAGCGCTTGTCGGAGCCGATGACGTTGTAGACGGTATTGTCTGCGTCTGGGCAGATGGCGTTGCCGCTCGAGGTTGCTATCGGAGACGGTGTTGATGTGGAGGTGGTTGTAACCGAGGTTGGTATCGTTGTTGATGCGGTTGCGGTTGTTGTTGCGTCGCTACTGCTCCGTGGCATGGAGGAGGAGCTGGACATTGTGGGCACGATCATTGTTGTCGATGTCGAGCTTGCGCCTGTAGTTGGCGTGGGCGTTGAGGTTGAGCTGGAGCTTTGTTAATCGAGATGCCCGCGCGCATATCAAAGTTCAAGAGAAAACACATACCTCGTCGTTGCAGCGCTCTGGTCCGACTTCTGATTCGCGCCGATACCGACACCAACACCAATGCCAACTCCGAGAACAACCGCAATAATCAGAGCGACTAGCAGCCAAAACACCCACATCTTCATGCCGCAGCATTTGCGTCTCCTCGTGCGGTCACTGTCCTCCTCGTCGTGATCGAAAGCGCTCTGCCGAAACCCCCGCGTTCGAGCGGCCTTATCGTTGCCGGCGCCATCCGGAAGCGGCGGCGTGTCCTCGCGATAGAATGTAAACTTTTCATTGTTCATCGGCGTTGGGTCATCGCCGACCCAGTAGACACTTGGGATGGACGCCTTGCCAAATATAGATCCCTTTGCACTCCGGATGGTGGCCGCTTTGCGGGGTGACGGCACGGTGCGTTTTGCTTTGAGGTCGCGGGGGACGACCGGGTCCGGTTCGTCCGGCGGAGGAGGGCGGTCGTTCATCATCTTGTTACCGACGATTCCTGTCCCGTTGCCACTTTGATCTGGGCGTTTCCGATCCCTCTAGTTGAATTCCTCCAGTTGGATGTCCTGTTCTCCAGTGTTGCCCAATTCCTATTCGAGCCCAAGCAAATGGTTGGCAATTGCAATTGCCGATGTAAGGCCCTGCAGACAACAATTGCCAGAGTTGCTTTCTTTCTGTGGCAAGGCTGTTGGCGTAGCGTGTAGGTTGGGTTATACGGCGAGATCCCGCACCATTATCTCGGCCTTCCTGGGACGAGGACAAAGTTTCGCAGCTTCGCTGTTGCTGGACCCTTGGCTTAAAAGAAACGAATGTATCTCGAACAAATGCGACCTTGTTTCAAACGAGCGAAAGTGGGCGCGCCCTGGAAGCGCAATGCGCTGCGCTGCCGCGAGTGAATTGGGGTCCTCTGCCCGTATCCCAAACTCCAGCCCGTCACACGTCGAGCGGAAAAAGAGTGAACCGCTTTGTGGGATATTTCGCCTTTAATTGAAGGAATGAAATTGAAGCGAAACGTAATGAATGAGAGTGAGTGAAGGAAGGGAAAGAATGAAGGCGAGAGAGAAACGAAAAGTGGGCAAACAGAGTCAACCGTTGCCCGCGAATCCATGATCCGTTCAGGAAACTCTCCTCCCCCCTGCTGCTGGGCTTTCCCCATCAATAAAAGGACCTATATAACAGAGTCCGGAAGTGGTGGTGCCCCTGTTGTGATAATTTCCCGGGCCTGGGGGATGATGTGACGGACTAGGCCGCTTTGGCACGTCCAAGCAATCTACACCATGGAGCCATGGTTTTAGGGGCAAGGATCATGACGGTGTTGGTTCGTGGCTCTCTGAGATGAGAACCAACATGAGGAATCAGTTGAGTTGGAACAGGTCGAAACATCCAAAGTGAAAGAAAGAGAAGATCATGAGAAGATATTCAGAGATCGACTTGCCGAACTGGAATGCGAACAACGCTGTGGTGTTTTGCCCATACATTCGGGATGTTCGCCTGCCTCACCCGAGGAATACAATGCGACTGTGACGGTCGACCCGACTCACCATTCCCAAAACCGCCAATGAAGACAACGCTCGGCGGGCTGTTTTCCTCGACAAGTTAGCCCCCCAAGCAGATGCCCTACCCCCTACCCTCATCGAAAAGAAACGGTCCTAGCGCATCCAGACCAGACAAGCACACAGGTAACAAGACGAAAGCATGTGCGAGCTGCGAAGTGCGAACCAGCCACCGGGTGCTAAAGAAAGCACCTTGTGGTGGACGCGAAGGAAGGGTGGGAGTCTGACTTTGTCGCGCTGGCGCCACGAGTTTCGTACTTTGCGTCTGAGTCGACCCCTCAACCCTCCAAGAGTGATTTAAAATGATCCTTTGGCCCCTCCACTCTTCTAACAGACGGTACGGATTCATGTAAGTTCTAGGCTCTGCCTTTCCCAAGATGACGGTCCGCTGTGCATGAGTCGGCGCCGCGCATCTGTTCGCTTTGGCGTGCTCTTTTTTTTTTTGTTTTTTTTTTTTGCGCTTTGCCTCACCACTATCGCTTCCGCTTTCCCGCGACGGCAACGGACTGTGCTACAGATGAAGTGTTGAGTGGCGCCAACTCTCAAACCCCTCATCTTTCAGAGAGCCTCAGTGCTTCACTCATATTCGTTGCCGTGGTCACTTGATCCAAGCTGCGGCAGGGTAAGGTGAGCAAGGAGCAGAGGTAAAGGGTACAGAGGAAAGGGAACCGCTGGATACTTCATCTCTGGGAGAGAGTCATGGAAGTGGTATGTGCGGATAGGAAACTGGTCAAACTAGCAGAGTTTGCGATTCATGAAGGGACCGTTCATCTCAACTTTTTCATCCGAACGGTGTCCCTGCGAGGAGCCCAACCTCGAAAATATCCCATGGGAAAACTGAAAAGGCAAGGGAAACGAACGGAACGGGGAAACGAGCGACAAAAGCCTGCTTTCCAGCCTTGCTAGCTTCGAGAATAACAACAACACTCAACTCTTGACGCCCGATAATCAAACTCCCACGGCCCAAAGCAACGTGCTTTCACAGCATTCCATGGCCAAAGCCCCTGTCCAAGCCCTTGTCGTCTCTTTTTTGCGAAGGAAGGCCATTGCCAGAAGGAAAAATCCCCGAGCTTTCGAAGCCCTGGAATGCAGCCTAGAATTCTTCTTCCTCTAATTATGGCTAACCACCGAGGCCTGAAAGCTGAAAGCCTCATGTTCGTCCTCGGCTCTGCGAGTCTCCGTAACACTAATACCAAACAGGTTCCCGTTGCCATTGGGAAATGAAGACGAGGTCGGTACGGGTCTACTAGTCAACAAGTCAAGCAATTGTCAAGGAAGCCCTCTGCTCTCTTGGTCTCCTCTCCGAGGTCTCCAGCCCCCAGTCCCAGGGCGATCGCTGCAAGTCGGGCATGAGGTGGTGTGGATCATCTCCACGAACATCCCGGCATTCCGTCCATCGGGCACCAACTCGACGCCGCTCTCTTGAGATGAAAGGTTGATGCCAATCAACTCTTCTCCCTTTGGAAGCTTCCTTTAAACATGCACGTCGTCCCGGAGCGGGTGGCCAATGTTGCATGACTCCCGCAAGACCTTTCCTTGTCTGCTCTTATACTCGCTGCGTTTTCTGCTGGTTTCGTTGGAGGAAACTTTCCAAGCGGCCTGTCCTTACCGTCCCATCCCGCATCCGTACCAGACCAAAAAGAGGGTGAAGCCATCGTCAAGTTTTTCAGCTGCAGTGGAGATTTCATTTTGATCATCATTTCGGCCCGTGGACTGCAGCATGACCCATCGACAGGCCCCGCCGCAGCCGGCCCGGAGCTCGCGGCCCCAGACCGAGAAGGTATCCAGCTCGGCATCCAAGAGCAAGGGAACTAAAGCAACGGCACCGGCTCCGGCTTCCAAGCCCGCGAGGCAGACGACTCCCATCGCAGCACCGAAGCCCGTCCGCCCGGTTTCTGCTCATAAACTTCAGCCCCCGGTGCAGCAGTTGACGGGAAACCCAAGCCCCCCCTCTTACACCAGCTTCAACGTCCCACCTCCCGCGAGCCCAGCACCGAAAGCCGGCGCCGGTGGCCCTACAGCACCTCCGAAAGGCCCTCTATCCGGCGTCGGCCGCGTAGCCGACCTCCGCAGCCCCGGGCCCGGCGCCCTTACCAGCTTTCCGCCACCGCCGACACCGCCGCAGAGGGAGTCCGCCGGCTACTTTCCCGCGGGCGCAGGACAGCAACAACTATCATCAGCGCAAATCAAGGCAGTCGCAGCTCGTGTCCCGGCTAGTGCGGCCAATGGAGTCCTTACACCACCCGAAAAGGCAAAGAGTACCGGGGCAGCAGAACAACGGCGGCCTGGCATGATCGACTTTGATAACCTCGAAGAGACGCTCCAGAACCTACGCTTCGCGCCCTCGCCGATGCTGTCTACTATCTACTCCGCCCCGTCGACACCTCGCGACGAACTTGCTACCCCCGACTTCACCGCCAGCACCACCACATCGTGCTTCACGCCACCCTCCACGAACCCCACGCCTGAGCCCGTGACGCCGTTGGATCTCACTCCACGAGGACCGCCGCCGCAACTGAAGCAGCAGCAGCAGCTAAAGAAGGAACTCACAATGTCTCCCACCAGACCGCGCGCCAACTCCCGCAGGGCCAGCCCGCCCAGCAGAAAGCGAGGACGCGGCGTCGTCGCCTGCATCGATAGCCCTGTCACCTTTTGCACGACGTGGTACACACACCCTACCGCGCCCGACTTCTCCATCTGCTCGAAGTGCTACGAGGACCACCTCGTCGGCACTCGTTTCGAGCACGACTTCCGGGGCAAGATCTGCGACGACAACAAGCCGCGGGTCTGCCGCTTCAGCAAGCCTCGCGTTAAGGACCATCTTCTCCGCAACACCCTCGCCACGGGACGCATCGAGGACATCGTGAGCTTCCTCCTCCACAGGAGCGCCGTTCCAGACTGCAGGGGTGCCGATGGAGCCAAGGGAAGCGAGGGGGCGAAATGGTACCGTCCAAAGAACAATGCTGTGCCAAACATGGTTGTCTGCCAGGCCTGCTTCGAGGACCACATCCAGCCGTACCGCTTCGCGGCCAACTTTGAGCAGGCCACAGGACAAGCCACCAACGATGTATGGTCCTGCGACCTTTCCACCCGTTTTATTCAAAACATCTACAAAGAGGCGGCGGTCAAGGACGACTGGATCGGCTTCACCAAGGAGGCTTTCGCCAGGATGGATATGCCCCCCTGCGCCAAGCGCCAAAAGGTTACCGTCACCTCCCGCAAGTGGTTCACCCCCACGGCCGCAGGCCACGACGGCGTTCTTGTATGCGCCGCGTGCTACTGCGACTTCGTGGCCGGCACCGGCGAAGAAGGGAAGTGGTGCGGCGCCGGCACGAACCTCGCCTCGCGGTACGGCAGCCTTGTCTACTGTGCGCTGGGCCACTTCAACATTGGCATCGCAATGTCCTGCGCCACCGAGGCCAAGCAATACTCCATCTTCTGGAAGGCCCTCGACGCGGCCTGTACCGAGGAGTTCTGCAGTCCGCAGGGTATCAAGGACGGGACGTGGTACACGTTCCCCTCCCACCCGGCCGAGTTCGGCATCTGCGCCGCCTGTGTGTCGACCGTCGCCGAACCTCTCGGCTTGAGCTCCTCTCTCGTGCCCAAGTGTGGCGTGTCATCCGGCACGACGCTCCTGTGCTGCTTCAACCCTGCAAACCCGCGCTTCGCACCGTACATGACGAAGCTTCTCGAGTGCCACTTCACGGCCGACACCCAGCCGCTTGAGTCCTACGCCCTCGAGTTCGCCAGCCTGCCGCTCTGCCCGCGCGACGAGGATTTCCGCGACAGGCGTTGGTATGGATGGCAGGAGTGTACGATCTGCCCGTCGTGCTACCATGAGTTCATCCGCGGCACGACGCTGGCTGCCGCCATGCCGCTCAAGGGCGGAACCGCGGCCCCGAGCCTCATGTGCGAGATGTACAGCCCGCGCATGCGCAACCTCTACGCCCAGGTGTGTGCCCGCAACGACCCGTCTGAGCTGCTTCGGGTATCTAAGGCCCGTCGAGCCGTCTATGTCGAGACGGTGCCTACGATCCGGCAGATGATTATGGAGGCGCAGATGGCGCTTGGCCAGCAGCGTGTGTCGAACGTTGCGACCTCGACGAGTCGGGCTATGGGGCAGGTTAAGGATGTCGTTATGCTGAGCCAGGGGGTTTATAGTATGCCTGGCGTTGGATTCGAGTTCACCAATCAATTCGAGGCTCAGGGGGCCTCGTACAGCAAGCAGGCGAACTCCATCATGGCAGAATATGGGTCGGGATCGCGAACTCATGTTATTGGAACGTTGGAGAAGAGATGGAGGGAGGTTGAGTGAGGTGGGATGCCTTGAATGAGTGAGGACGAATAAGCATGTTATTCCCTTTGTCTAAAGATACCACTTAGAATATGAAATCATTTTCCAAAACATCCACCACTTCTAGTCTTGTTCGATGACTCTGACTTGAGTAGCAAAAGCACTGAGTTTACTCCGTCAGTTTCGGGTACGCACTCAGAGCTGCCTGGCCACCGGTATGCAAGAACAACGTGGCTTTTCCATCAAACCCTCCTGCCTTTGCAGTATGCAGCAGCCCAGTAAATGCCTTACCGGTGTAGACCGGATCAGTCAGGATTCCCTCCGTCCTAGCCAGCGCCTTGATGCCCTCCGCCGTCCGCTCATCAAGGTGACCGTAAGAGCCCCCCAGGTACTCATAGTCAATCTCAAAGTCCTCCCTCGTGATCGACGCGGGATCCAACCCAATCTTCTTCGCCGCGGTCCTTGCAATGTCCAACACTAGCCCCGCTACATCGTCCTCAGGCTTCTTCAGAATCGAGTACCCGACCAGTCGCTTCCGCGAACCATCACGGCCGAGCTGCTGCGCGAGCTTGAAGCCGGCGACCAGGCCGCCCAAGGTCGAGCCGGATCCGACTGCGACTACGATGTTCGAGATAGACTTTTTGAGCTCGTCTTCCCACTCGAGGAGCTCAAAAGCCCACCTCGCGTAGCCTAGGCCGCCTAGAGGATGCGTGCTTGCTCCCGCGGGGATCACGTAGGGCTTCTGCCCGCGGCTTTCGAGGGTGGAGATGACGTCGTCCTGGCTTGTGTTTGGCGGGAAGGTCTCGGCGCCGAGGATCGAGTTGAGCTGGATGTTGCCTGCGTATTTGTATTCTGCATCGTCTGATGGAACAGCAGTCACTGGGAAGAGAGCAACCTTTCTATCCGTCAGACCACGTGAGAGCTAACAAAGGTGGCGGGAAACTCACTTTTAGGCCTAGTTTTGCCGCAGCCGCAGCCGTCTGGCGCATGTGGTTCGACTGGGTCCCGCCGGTCGTGACTATCGTGTCCGCACCTTGGCCGATAGCATCCGCCAAGACGTACTCGAGCTTGCGCACCTTGTTGCCTCCGAACGCGAGGCCAGAGTTGCAGTCATCGCGAGCAATGTAGATGTCTCCCTCCTTAATCCCCTCCTGGTTCGGGAGTCGCTGCAGCCGTTCAATGTCGACCGGCCGATCATAGGTTAATTGGATGCGAGGGATCTCGCTGAATGGATGCGGGAGACTTACCATGTTTGGCTGGTTTCTAGTGCCATGTACTATCGTTTGAGATGTTGGCTACTTTGCCTCAGAGATCAGTCTTGCTGTTAGTGTTGAGATGCGAGAGTTAAAGCCTTGACATGGGACTTTGGAAGAGGGGCCGTCTAACGTGAGATGGATAACCCCGCTTCAGCTAATTCCATGTTAGCCTATGACGTGCGATTGGGAACAAGGCCGTGTGGTTTGTAAGCGGTTGCAGTTTTGAACATGACTTTCGCGATCAAACGCTTTGGTGTAGCAATGAACTCCATTTCCATGTTACGCTCCGCATATACCCGTACAGCTGACCAGGTAGCATGCCAGAGACCCAGATTCTTACAAGAAAACTTCGAAGGATGTTTTAAAGAAGTTGACCATATTATCTAGGCCAAAAGGTTGGCCATGATCTATCACTAGTTACTGCTAGAATTTGTAACAAATACTACCGTCTTCCCTGAAAAGTCAGAAGAAGCCGCAAGTAAACCGAACCTCGAGGTCCCGTCACAAAGTTGGGTACGCTAATGACTGATTAAGTTGTTGCTCTCCGCAATTCTCAACCGGCCGTCAAGGCAGGGTTTCGTCTCAACTTTCTTTCGGCCTTCGAGGTATAGAGTGAATTGCACAATATAAAAGTGCAACTTGCCTATCGACATCGTTCTTCTAGTACACGCGTGTAGTACTTCCTCCGCCTAAAATCCAGCCTCAAAACAGTTCACCTACAAATCCCCAAAGACAAATCGGCAAAAATGCGGTGGCAACAACTTATCTGCTTGCTCATTCCCTTCGTCTGCGCGGATAGCCCCCCCAAAGACCCGACCCCCGTCACGCGCATCGCAAAAACCCTTGCCTCGGCGCCCACTTTAACTTCATCCGGCCCGAAACCGACGGTTGAAGTAGATCGATTCAAGTACGTCCCAGCGACCCGAGACCGGGAGCTATGTTGGTACGACAGCTTCGTCGATAAGGTCGACATGCCCATAAGGCGCGGGCACTATTCCGCCGAGATCCTCAAAGCCGTCTACGACTGCCAGGACAAGTGCCGGCGGCCGCTGTCTAACGGCGACGAGTGCAAGTATGCCTACTACGTCAAGGGAGGTCCCAGGTCTAATGACATTTGCCTATTGGACAACAAGGGCTTCAACCCCAAGGAGATAAATGTCACTGGTCCGTATGATTCTTGGGTCTGCGTTGGCAGCGATAAAATCAATCAGGCCTGAACTTGAGTGAGGATTTGGATGTAAGTTCAGATAGTCGGGAAATGATGAAGATTATCCCGTGACTGACAGTTCTAGGCGTTGTACACAGCTAGCAGCTCTGGGATGCGAGCATCGATCAAATGTTGGAATTTGAAGCTTGGCCATATCAGCATCACCAAGAACGAAATTTGGCGCCCGTATTTAACCCGATCATACACAGCATGGCTAGGAGACGCTGTAGTCGATACCTCAACGTCAAGCTTTGCGACTCATGAGCACAATTTAATCGGCAGTCTACTCGACACTGCATTGGTTTCAGCAACAGAAGCCACGAATAATGGTAAGAACACCAATTTACCTGGAATATCCTAATCTATGCTTAACTTTCTTTGGGATCCCAAAAGTGGAGACAGTCAAATTCACTCGGCAAACATCTAAAGGGCTCAAAACTTGCAAGGATCGATGTTATTCGAGAAACCTTTGAGATTACACAGTACTCAGACTCCTTATGAGTGGTAAATAGTTGAAACGACAGTAAATGCTAAGGTATATGTTCCATAGCGCCTAAAATGCAATCCAGATCCAGTAACGCAGATTTCATTCCTGTTGATGTTCGTGAAAAAAGCCAAATTATTCATCAAAACCCCCTCATCCCCAAATTTACAAGAAGAGCGCGCCAACGGCAGCGGCACCAATCAGGCCGAGACCCTGAGGCGACACAATACCCGCAGCATTGGGAGTCTGGGTAGTCTGACTGCCTGCCGTGGTCGGGGTGGTGGTGCTGCCGCCGTTGTTGCTGCCGGATCCGGACGCGGAGGTCTGAGTCGGGGAAGAGGATCCGCCGCCGACGGCGCCGGGGGTGATGGTGGTTGTGAGTTGGGCCGAGTTAGTGGGGCGCGCCGCTGAGACGGACGGGGTAGTGGAAGCGTAGGATGCGGTGGAGGCGTAGGAGGTGCTGGCGAAGCCGCAGGTTCTCAGGATGTCGTTGATGTCTATGTCAATGTGAGTTAGTACAGGACAAGATTGGGGGACCTTGTGTTTTGGTTCATCTGCTTACCATCCAAGTCATCTCTGTCCTGGACGTTCTGGTCCATGCAGCTTGCGCAGAGCGCGGCGTACTGAGAGACGTTGATGCTGTTGTTTGTGCAGACGCACTGGGCCTCAAGACGATCCTCGGTCAGGTCATTGTTGATGAGGTCGTCGTTGACCTCACAGGCCTGGCCGAGGTCGTAGATGGGGCGGCAGACGGCCTGGCACTGAGTGGGAATGTCATCGTTGTCGAGTTGGAGGTCGGCCTTGACGAAGGCGACGGCAGCAAAAGACAAGGCGACGCGGTTGAAATGCATTTTGGCTGTTGGAGTTGTTCTTGGTGACTGAAGTAGATTCAAGGCTGGATATGGCTGGGAGATGTGCGAATCAAGGCAATGTTGTGACTTTTGATCGTGATGGAATGCTGATGAGAATCCAGGATGTAGAGCGGGATGATGCCGGATATATACTCATGTTTCGAACGACTCTCCTCCCAGGGGCGAGGATCCATGGATCAACAACACAGAGTCGATCAACGGCAGAAGAGACGAACAGACACACCACGTAGGAACCATCCGGCCGTGTCTCGGGCAGCGACCGCGCATCGTCACTCAGAGGCTTGGGTCTTGGTTGGTAGCTTGGCGCTGGCAGTTCTCCATCTCCGCAGCTTCCACTCAAATTGCAGGTATTCGAAAGTGGATTCCGATGAGGGAAGCCAAGAAGCCCCCTAGCTGCCCCAGCCTCAATTGGCGACTCAACATCCCGGGCATTATTCGACGGTAGTTTTTTCGTTGTGTGAACGTCCTGCTAAAGCCCACCGAACAAGTCTAAATTGAACACACGCTAATTACCTAAAGTCGAGCTCTCGGCAAGTGTTGCTTGGGGGCCTTTCAGTTCCCCGTCAGAGCCCTATGTCATGTTTCTTCCACCTTGTCGAAGACAGAAGCCCGCCCTCCGCTGTCCCCGAATCCCCAGGAAAGCTTAATGTGATACGACTAGGGGCCCTTGCGAGCCTGTGGACAGTTACAGTTTGGCAGAGTCCAAGACGGAGAAGTGTCGCGTGCTACAATTGACAGCATAATCATTACGGACATGACCGCACCTTGAAATGGTAATAGTATTCACGCAAGGTCAATGCCGGGTGAACAGCCAAGCACCCCCAAAGTGTCAAACAACTGAAGTGGCGCCATAACAACCAACCAACAAGACAAATCTGTACTAGAAGTGCGAGACAATTAATTATTTCACTTCCATGGAATGCCTCTCAAAAATACATGTAGTACCATTCGCCAAGGGAAGGAACACAGATGTCTACGCGTACGCTTTGCCCGCACCAACAAGATTCGGTACTAGGCTTGATGTCTCGTCGTCTTCCAGCAACTGCCAGCCGTGGATCTTGACAAGGCAAATGCCCCGTCGATTAAACGTTTGTTATTTTAGATTTCTGCCAATCCATTGTACTCCGTACTAAACTTCCATGAGTACGGAGTACGAATAAGGTGATTACCAGAGATACCCGTACGTAAAAGTTAAGAGGATGAAAATTCGCCGCCGGCACATCCCCGCCAAGCACAGCAGAGCCACGGCGACACGCACGAACCCGCCTCCTCACACAACGAGAACACGCATTCCAGCAGCCATACCCGTGAGGCTTTCCTTCCGACTGGATCGTCCACCATCCACGCCATCCAAGGATGCCCAAGAAAAGATTCGAACGTGAGCTGTCGTGTTTCACATCTCTACTTGGCGCATAGTCTCAAAGAGGGAGAGCCTTGTAGTCGCAGTATTCTGTTGTTTACGGTTCGTCCAGTCATATCCTTAAAGCTTGAAGGGGGGTGTTCCCTGCCGGCTTACCCTTCAGTACCCCCAAATGACGCTGCGCTGCGGATGATCGACACCACGTCCTGCCACTGGGATCATCATCGGCGCAGGAGTCTGTCGGTCTGACCACTCGGGAATGTTTTCTGCGGTTGTCCTGATTGTTCACTGGCTGTTAGTCTCCGCCAGCCTTCGTCAACTCCACGCAATATCAACACCATCCACAGCTTTCCTTGCAGCTACATAGGCGTTTCTATTCGTAGGGAGACTACGCGGGGCAGCATCGAAGCGGGGGCTCTGCGTTTGCCCAAAAAGGCTCCAAAGCTCCGCGGTGTCTCCATGTCCAGGCCAGCTGAGAGGAGGTGCGGGTACGTGATGCTAAATTTAGGGCCTCATGATGCGCTTGCATCTTGGCACTCTGTCAAAAGAAATTTCAACCAACAAACAAAAGTCAACACAAGACCCACTGGAAATTTGACATCGAATAAGCTTTAAACTCTTCTCATGATCGAACGAACTTTTTGTCTTCTAGATTTCAATCCCAGTGGAAGAACACAACCGCGAGATATTCCGAATAATTGTCGTCAATTTGCTGATCTCCATGGGGCCTACGTAAGGTGCCAAGACATCACTGAAGCTTCGCCTCGTTCAAGAGAAGGCTGGTGGAGGAGGACAAAGTCACAAAGCAAATCAAGCAAAAAACAAGTAAAAGAATCGCGTAAAGGCCTCAATCTTGTAGGACAGAAATAGACTCGAAGCGGGGACTTTTGGCTTTTACATATCTAAAAACCAGACCGCAATTTCAAGACCCATATTCGTATGATTGAGCCGGTCTAATAGTTGTTCAGGTGACCATTCAGACGGCTTGAATGACGCTGGTTGCCTGGGAATTCGGCGTACAACCCACCTTCCACCAATCCAGGTGACATGGAGTAACAACTCATCAAGGTCTAGAAGATCGATGGTCAATGTCATCTAGTAGTCATCATACGCGTACGAGGCTCAGTACAGTCTTTCAAGACGTAAGTCCGAGTGATGAGGCTGTGAGAACGATCGAGTCACGAGTGATGATGTCTGCTTTATGATCACGTCCCACCTTCTGCTTCTACGGGATCCATCAGGTAGCCTGAAAAATGGATAGACCAGAAATAGCAACAAAGCCTGACTCAAAGCAGGTTGAATAAAAGATGTCGGGGTTGCAACTTGCCTGCCGTTTCTCTGGTCAAGCCTTTCATCACAAGAGCTGATGTAATATCGATAGATGTCGCAAAAACGACGCCGTTTATTACGGGCAGCAATTAACGCCATATATACCCTACGACAATAGACCTCATTACTTTTGTTTTGTGATCATCCAAAAGACCAGTCTTTACCAACTGATCCCCTTAGTCGAAGAACCCAGCTACAACCACAAAGACAAGCGAACTGGATACGCTAGAGGTACAGCAGGCTCAGAAGTGCAGTCTAGGACACAAGTTACTCGGCGGATTGCAGGTTACATCACTTTACTTGCGCGACCTTTCATCAACTCTCGGAAATGTGTCATTTTGGCAGAAGTCGCAGCGGCTGGATTTTACTTGTAGACTGTAGACGAGCAGAACGTGTTCCAGGAAAAGGTTTCGCCCGATTTCTCCGTGCTTCACCGTGGAGTTGAGTGTGAGAGTTTGGTCTGTCCACGCTTATTCGTGGTCATCTAACAGGATGGGGCAGTCATGATGAACCTTGAGAGCGTTTGCCTCCCTCACCAGCTGGAAGTAGTTGTTCAAGCTTTGCTATGTCATGTCAATTGGCCAGTCGCAAGTGAATTCAGGAACAAGTCACGTCTAGTTATTGCTTCACTGCTTTGACTACCAGTTGATTCAAGATGGTGTAGGTAAGGATCATATGTCTGTTTGGTGCTGTATCAAACTTGCAATTGGATCAATTCGTGTCGCAATGACTATAACAAGACAAATCATTAGTGTAGTGGATTATGTAGACCACGTATATGGGCAATAGTGACTCCCAGCATGGCCAAGTATTGATCTAGCTAAGGGATCGGGCCAAAGACCAAGCCTATTGCTCGAAAAAGGTACACGTGCGGAAATGCAAGTCCCCCATCTACTCCATATAGCTTTATTATACTGGCTGTTTACATAAAGTACTTGAGCAATAGGGGTTATACGATGATACAGTCATGGCCCACTGATGAATTGTTGTGAAGGATGCATTTGACTAGAAACTATTAAGCTCAGTAGGGTCCGAGAACCATCAAATCAAGAGACCACCAAGTTGTCTCTTTGGAAGTGTCAAAAATAAATTGTCAGTGTCATCAACTGATTGAGCTTTTATGTAGTAGCGACTGTGATCGGAAGCTTTGAAATAGTTCTGATAATGATAATTTAATCATTATATGTCGTTTAACGTAACGCTAACTACAGCTCACAACTATAAACATGTTTGTGGCTTTTCGTTTATAGTACCCAGATTGAATCCATAAGCGTACTTTACAGTCCTGCCGAAATCTCTCCTATCTCAATGATTTTTTTTTGGCGTAGAACTCCGAGACGAATACGAAGCTTCCAGATGTCTAAATGTTGGTAGTCGGTAGGTACTAGCGACTCTCAGAACTGACCGCATTGTAGAAGAGAAACTGCAGGGCCAGACCAGTCACAAGTGTTGACTCTGTTCCAGTTGGATAAATGTGTCGTCTGGAATATCCTCATCAATTCCTCTTTTGAGATCAGTCGAAAACCACGACAACCTTATTCGCCTTGCCTGACTTGGCCAACTCCAACGCCTCTAATGCCTGGTCAAACGGAATCTGATCACTGACGATCTCTGCGTATTTGTCCCAGTTGTCGACGATATCATCCGTCACCTCAAAAATCCCATTCGGATAGCCCACGCTGAAAACAATCGTCAGCTCCGTAGAAATCAACTGTGCAAAGTTGAGTTCAGTTGGCTTCCTGTGGACTCCAACCACGCCAAACGTGGCGCCGCGCTTCGCCATTTTGCACACCTGCGCAGGGACCGGCGGCGCGCCCGCAGCGTCCAGAATGATATCGGTACCAGGACGTGTGCCACGGTTCTGCGCCGTCGCTCCATCTCCTTGCAACTCGACTAGCTTCGCGGCTAAGTCTTCTACCTCTGCCGAGTTGCTGACGGCCCGGTAGCCGACAATGGGTGGAGTAGGGTCGGTGTCGGCGATGAATTCCGAATCGACGTAGAGAACCGCGAAGCCCGTCGGGCAGTTCAAACCCTTGTGCAGACTGAACGCAGCCGCGGAGACGCCCAGAGCTCGGACGTCCACCTCTGCGAAGCCGACCTGCTGCGTGAGGTCCGCCAGGACGTGGACACCGCGAGGTCTGTATGTTGCGCAGATGTCCGCCACGTCGTTCCACTGGCCGCTGTGGAACATGATGGAGCTGAGGCCGATGGCCTTGGTACGCTCATCGACGTAGGGCGCGAAGGTCGCGGCGTTGGCAGCTGTGACGTGCCCAGTCTCTTCCGCGGCGGGTATGGTCGGGACCTGCCGGATCTCGAGGCCGGCTTTGCGGAGGGCCATCCATCCGTAGACTTGGTTTGGGTTCTCCGTGTCCAGGACGACGACGTTGTCGCCGGGTTCGAACTTGAGGCTTCGGATGAAGCAACCTAGGGCCTCTGTTGTGTCGCGGGTGAAGGCTAGAGAGGACGGATCGGCGTTGATGTAGCGACCGACTAGGGTACGAGTCTCCTCGACTGCGTTTTGCCATTGAGGCTTTGGGTGAGGATTGTAGAGGGCATCGGAGGTGAACTTGGCGACGGCACTGTGAACGATCAGGTTTGAGGGAGGTTTGGTAGGAGGCATTGAGGTAGGTGAGGTTCTTGTCGGCCAGGAGAGGGACCAGGGATCGGAAGGTAGAGAAGTCGGCTTCTGAGGGGAGTTGAGGGACAGATTTGGTGGACGTTGAGACATCGTCCACGTGTTCTTGAACAGCGCTGGGTGACATGGTGAATTTGGAAAGAGGTGCACAGACGAAGAGACAAGTTTGATGAGATTGGATGTGGCCCAGAGCCAATGACTCAACTCTCCGTCATGGCTATGCAGCTTTTATCGTCTCTCCATGTTCCTATATCGGCGTCAACGTCCAGGGTGATTTCTCGGCATTCCGTTGATACCCCGAGATGATTCCATGGAACCAAATACCTATGAGGCTGTTGACGTATCATTGGCAGAGCCAGCTCGTGGAGGTTGAAGTCCGTCTCTAGTACCTAACGAATGATCAAGATGTCGGAGGCACCTTGTGATTGGGCAATCCTGTTGTTCTTATCCGCAAAGCCGAAACTTCAGCCCTCGAAACTCCTCTTCCCCGGAGTGAAAGACCATAACAAATGCTGCGTATGTTGCTTGTGTAGTCGATATGGACTCATCTGATGTCGTTGCAGGGTCACCCCAAGGATCCACGATCGTTAATCCTACGGCGCGGACTTCAACCTCCATTTGTGGGTCGTGGGTTGATAAGAGGCCCCTTTCCCCGCATGTTGGTGCAATTTCGCTCCACGCCAAAGGCTTTAGTCTCGTGGGCTATCTGGATGGTATGTTGGTTCTTATCGGTTCCCCGGATTCCGTATTAGACAGCACTGGGCCGAGGGCGGCAAGTTTAATGTTCTTCACTTGAATTCCATTATCCTGACAAGACGTATCGCGAGATAAGTCCGTGACGATTATGATTTCTTGATATCTTATCTTGGTGGGACGTAAACTATAAGAACTCAATGTTCGGCACCCAAAAGCTTCACAATTAGGCATCTTTGTTGTGTTCAAGATTTCTCTTCCGTATACCTTAGCTCAAGCACTTACAAAGGGTACTACCAACCGCAAGGCTGGGTAAGACTTCACGATGAGCAGTGACAACATCGGCAGCAAGTACGGCAAGACCGCCAATGATGTTGTCGGCACAACGGCAGAGCCCTCCGACATGGGACACTCAATCTCTAACGTCGAGGGGACTTCCACAGAGACTACGGGTGAACGACAACAACTCAAGCGGGAGTTCAAGGAACGCCATGTCTCCATGATCGCCGTCGCCGGCGCCATTGGGACTGGACTCATCATCGGCTCAGGGACGGGCCTCGTCAGAGGCGGGCCCGCGAGCCTGCTGATCGCGTACACCCTCATCGGCGCAGTCGTCTTCTTCATCATGACGGCTGTGGGATAAATGGCGACGATGCTTCCTTCTGATAAGGGGTTTGCTGGATATGCTACACGCTTCGTTGATCCGGCCTTGGGGTGAGGCTCAAGCCACTTGATTGACGCACTTTCATCTTGGACGGAGTCACTTACACGCAGAGAATAGGTATGCCACTGGATGGAATTACTTTTTGAAATACGCCATCGTCCTCCCCAATAACCTCACGGCAGCCGGTATCATCATGCAGTATTGGAGACCAGACCTCAACGTTGCCATCACAGCTGTCAATGTAAGTATTCCAAACTACCAGACAACGATTCTCGCGCTGATAAACCACCAGATCCTACACGTCTCCTTCTTCGGCGAAGCAGAATTCTGGATGTCTGCCGTAAAGCTCCTCGTCATCATAACCCTCATCCTGACCTGCTTCATAATCTCCATGAGCGGCCAACCATCCCACGAAATAATCGGCTTCAAATACTGGCACAACCCAGGCGCCTTTGGCTCCTACCTCGTCGAAGGACCAACAGGCCGCTTCCTCGGCTTCTGGGCCGCGACAGTCCAGGCCTGCTTCGCCTACACTGGTACTGAAGTCGTCGGCGTCGCTTTTGGCGAGGCACCAAATCCACGCCGGACGATCCGCAAGGCCGTGAGACAGACGCTGTGGCGCATTGTCTTCTTTTACGTGTTGGGGGCGCTGGTGCTGGGGATGTCGGTGCCGTATACCAATGGCATGCTCATTGGTGGCACGAAGAAGAGTACCGGTGCTGCGGCGAGTCCGTTCGTCGTTGCTGTGCAGATTGCGAATATCCCGGTGTTTCCGCACGTCGTCAACGGGTGTTTGCTTATCTTCGTCATCAGTGCGGCGAATTCGGATATTTACATTGGGTCCACGATTTGAACTGTATCTAGCAATAGTTATAGGGCGACGGCTCTCCACGCCATATACCCTTCGGGAGGTCGGCCGCAAGGGCGGCTGCGCCCTTGCCGCCACGGCGTTAAATATAACACACACACACACACACACGCTGTTTGGCCTGGCGCGTGATGGTCAAGCGCCGGGGATGTTCATGAGGACGTCTGGAAAGGGTGTTCCGTTGTACGGGGTCGCAGCTACGAGTGTCTTTGCGGCTCTGGCTTACATGAATGCCGCCAAGAGCTCCTCCCAAGTGTATGGTTATCTCGTTAGCCTGGTCACGGTATTTGGAACCCTTAACTGGGTGAGTGTCCTGACCAGCTACATCTGCTTCACTAGAGGCATGAGAGCTCAGGGCACCCCGAGGAGTTTGATGCCGTATCGTGGGCCCTTGCAGCCTTATGGCTCTTACTTTGCTTTATTTGTGACCATACTGGTTGTCACTTTCAATGGTTAGTCCAAATCGTCTGGATTACACGAGGACTAATCGCGCAACTCTTGCTGACGCTGCATAACAGGTTACAATGCCTTCATCCCAAAGTTCACAGTTTCTACTTTCATGACTTCGTACATTGGCGTTGCCATCTATTTGGTCAATATTTTCAGCTACAAAGCGTACGCCAAGACACGGCGGGTGGAGCTACACTCGATGGATCTAGTAACAAACAGACTTGAGGATGATGGGAGCAAGTATCTCAGTACACTGGAGAAGGCCGCTTCCTGGGCAGCAGAACGGTTCAGGAGATAGGAGGACATTATTCGCTAGATATCATGAGCAGGCTTAATTCGCAAGTGGTATCATCGCGGCTTTTCACATCCCCAGCATCTCCCTATGCACATTGCAAATATATCCACATTCACCAGTCATCTTACAATGGCAAAATCCAAACACGGCTCTAGACAGGATGGGTATTTCTGTTTGAGTGTCTCTAAGCCGCCACCTTCTCGCCCTTGGTAGTCTCAGTCAGACCCTCGGCAGGAATCTCAGCATCAGTGTTCTCGAAGCTCTCGCCTCTCTTCATGCCGAGCTGGCGGGTATCGTAGCCATTTGCCTCCAGGTAGGCGCGGTAGCGCGCATCCTCGAGTGCGATGGTGTCCTGACCGATGTGCGGCAGGCAGAAGATCGCGAGGGCGGCGGATAGGATGCAGAGTGAAGAGGATACCCAGAAGGGATACTGGGCGGTTGCGACGGCGTTGTCACCGGCAGCTGCCTGGATGTATGGGAAAACTAGATAGATCTTGTTAGTGGGAGAATCTCGGCGAGTTTTGTTCCATCAACAATTCTGAGACTTACCCCATGTACCGACGAAAGCGCCAATCTTGCCAATGGCCGCGGCAACGCCGTAGTACTTGCCGCGAATGCCCGTGGCGCAAGTCTTTGCGGCAAGCAAACCAATGTTGTTACCGGGGCCAAACTCGCCGAGCGCCAAGAAGATGCCGTAGACGACGACGAAACCGCCGACCATGCCGGGCTGCGATAGGTTGAAGTAATCGCCGGCCATGATGAAGCCGACGATGGCTTGCAAGAAAACGCCGAGGGCAAGGGCGTAGCGTGGGCCGAGCCAGTCGGAGGCCGGAGCGCCGAGCATGGTACCCGGGATATAGAACAGGTTGATGACCGTGTTCCAGCCGAAGATGGTGGTGAGCGGGGCTGTCTCTCCGTACAGGTTGCTCAGGATTGTTGAAGAGTAGATTCCGAATGAGTAGGCGGAGAACTAATGTCGCACATCAGCAAGGGCTATTTCATCACAGAAAGCACCATTTCAGAAGGACTTACATCATAAATGAACCAGATCAAGCTGACGACGAAGAGGCGCCATCCGTAGAACTTGAGTGAGAGCAGGTACGGCGTCTTTGCGTAGCGCATGGAGTTCTTGGTTGAGGCTTCGGGCTCCTTTACAAAGAGACGCAGGGCGAAGAGGAACATGGGGAAGACCACACCAATGCCCAAGCTGGTGCGCCAGATGGTGCTGTAGTGGCCATTATGGCAAGCGGCCGCGACAACATACGGCACAAAAGCTGTTCTCATGAATCAGTATCACCATCACCAACATCAAGAAGCGGAAGGACAAACCGCCAATAACGAACCCCTAGTTCAAGGTATTAGTAAACAGGCAATTGAGATTGCAGAAATAATGAAATACGTACCCAATCAATCATCGTGTTCGTAAACATGATGAACCACAAGTTTCTCGAGCCCGACTTTAGCTCACCGGTAGACTCTGCTGCGCCGACGCTACCCGCGGGGTACTCTCCTCCAATGCCGATGCCGACCTAAATGCCATAGCGATGACGTTAACAATTGGACTGTCTTTTTGAGCGCGTGTGCTTATCCCAGAATTCGAGCGAGCGCCCAATGGCGAAGTAGTGTTAAGCTGGTACAAACTTACGAAGAATCGCCATGCGGCCAGCATGTTGAACATGCCGATATCATCGCCCTTGTAGTAAGACCCGGCAGCGAGCGCAGTGAAGACGAGCAGGATGACAGTCGATACAAGCAGCGAGTTCGTTCGTGACCAGTGGTCGGCGAGCCAGCCGAAAGCGAGCTGGCCGACGACGGTGCCGGCAAAGGCGATGTCGCCGACGTACTTCTTGGCGTTGGAGGTCTTGTAGAGGTCGCCGTACTGCAGTGCGAGGATCGTGGTGACGGATCCGATAACCTATGCCCCAGCGTCAATAACCATTCCTAAAAAAAAATGACATGCACAAGGCGGTTGCGCTCACGTTGTTGATGTAGCCGTCGGAAAAGAGACCGGCACCGCAGGCAATGACGGGCACGATGGCCTTTCGGAACGGTTGGCGGGGCGCATCGTCAACGGTGACAGCCTCTTGCGCCGTGGCCTCGGACTCGGCCGACTTCTTTCTTCGGAAGTTGAGCATTGTCGCGGCTCTTTCTCGTGTAAGTGATCAAGCTGCGCTCAGTGCGTCAAAGGGAGATAGACCCTGGGACACTGCGACAGAATGAAGCGAACAATCGAGGACTTACGGCACAGAGAAGGTTATGTGCGAGAGGGGGAGGAGAGGTGAGAGGTTGTGCGAAGCGGCGCGCAAAGGTTAAAAGAATAGGCGCGACGAGTCAAGAAGCGCAAGGGGAAATCAACATGGTATATATTCGGACGATCACAAGCCCGTCGGGCCAGCCACAGCACCATCTGCCAACCAGAGGGCCTCTCTTCTCATGTTGCTTTTACGGTGTCTCTTCCCCCCCACTTACCACACGCCCTCGGAAGCAGCTCTGCTGTGGTGAGTAAGTGTTTGTGACAGACAGACACAGAGAGATAAACCTTGGGAATGCCTCGGGTGTCCCGTCCCACCCTACCTTGTTCCCCGGCGGACGGGGCCCGGGTTCACCCAATAACGGGCAGCCAGCCCCGATGCAACATAATCGAAAGGATTCTACGGGTCCCCCTCCCCTCTCTCACGAGTCACCTACGCCTCCAAAAGCGATTCTTTGGAGGCAGACGAGTGGTTTGTTGGTTTTCTTTCGAGGGAAAACAGATCCACACCGGATAACAGTTGCGGGCAAATACCGGGTTGTATGCTGATAAGACACGGTTATGCGGCAAGAGGGGGAGGAGTAGGCGATTCCATAGGGAGTACATACACCCATTGGGCCTTTTCGGTCTGAGTGCGGGCACACACCGTACGCCGTTCACCTGGGGAGCACGGGGGGGGACTCTGAAGAACCAAAGCACGGGGAGAGGAAGTGTAGGGGAACGTGGAGGGATTGTGGGAACCCGATGTTATCCATCCGCTAGGCGACCTGTTGGTTCGTGCAGAGCTGCAGTAGTTCATGTGCTTTCTCGACTCGTCTCCCGCTTTCCACAGGCTTGATGAACAGGTGGCACAGATGACGCTGCGATATGATGGGAAGAGTAAGCCTGAGAAAAATGCTGTCGCGTGTCTTATTGCCTACAATAGCCAATTGCAATCGGATAAGAAGAGGATGCATCGCTAAGCTTTTTCCAAGCGGTCTAGCGCTTCTCGGCAGCCCTAGGAGGCTCACTTCACTTGGCGTTCTCCCGCCTGCTGCCAAGGCTTTTCCCATGCGACCTTGTTGATGATGAGCTAAGGTACTTTGGGGAAAATTGTTAGTGCAGTTGTGCTTTGCCTCCAGCACTGTTTGGTCACCTGTGATGCTTGTAACCCTACGAGCAAATACGTCGACAACTCTCAACACGTGCTGCTTCTTAATAGTATCAGCAGCCGAGACTAGGCTAGTTGATTTGTTCAACATACGACGTGGATTAGACCGTGCAAAAACAGCCGAAGAAGTGGGCAGTAAGTCCCAACTTACGAATCCTGCCGATTCACTGGGTCCCAGACAACAAATCGGCCGCCGAACTGCCGCCATTCATGGAAAACTTGAACAAATTGCGCGGCTCAAGCATCTGCATGGAGGCACGTGGCAAGGTTGCAGACAGCATTTTTCTCAATTCAAAGCACTAGGATCAGAGCGAAATCTCTGCTACTCGTTGTTGCGCAACTGTTTTTGTCGTGGCCAATCCAAGGCCGTGTTGACCACCACGTGCATGCGGCGCCGATGTGCCGCTTTTGCCGGCCCGCCCCGGCTTTCGGTGGCGGCGGGAAGGACCCTCTTCTGCCTACCGGGACCCGACATTCCCGGGACGAACGTGCTACTAGGATAGACGTCTGTGGTTCTCTAGGGCTGCAGGCAAGCTAATCAGTGTCCAGTGAGAAAATGAACTGCTTGAGAATTCGAGTATGTTCGACGCGATCTTCGTTGGACAGAACGGATGCCAAACGTCGTTACGATATCATCCGGCTCCTTCAAACCCGAGACCATGAAAGGAATGCTGATTTCAGAATGCGCAGACAGATCATCGATATGGGCCATGGCAGTACCGAAGATTCTCGAGTAAATCGCGCTTGGTCCGCTATTATCATGAGTTATTGAAAGTATTTGGCAATTCGTCCGACGCACGAATCCGGCTGAAGATGGCTTGTAGTAGATTCAAGGGAGCAAAGGACGGCGTTCAAGTTTATACACTCGGTGAGAGTGAGGATCATGTGAGAAAGCTCGCAGTAGATAGGCAGCCTCGTTTATGCTGATAATGCCAGTCAGGGAATGTTCCCTTTCGCGTTTACGCAATTACATCCATAGCACCAAAAGATAATCAAAATTAATAAAGTCCGTTCACTCAAGAATTGTAGATCAATGCCAAATACTCCACGGCTTAGAGGTCTATGGTCCAAGCCAGCTCCAGAAAACCCCTCCGGTTCAATCTTAACGTAGTGGACTTTTCGGCGAGCTGAGTGGTTTCCCGCGGCGCATCCGCTACACACCCGCTCAATACATGGATCCACCGCCAAGTCTACTTTACGCATCGTCTTTATAAGCTATAAGCACCATTCTGGTAGAAGTTTCTGTGCAATACGAAGGTTTCTAGGGAAAATGTGTTGTCATGCAAAGGAGCCACGAGGGATCGTCGCTTACTGCATTTTTAGATGATATCGACAAATGTAACTTGCGCTGGGACCCAAAGAACGACTTGAAATTCCATCTGTTTGAGCATTTCTCATAGTTAGTTAGTTACCCCAAATTTGCGACTATTTGACGAGTAAATGAAGAACCAAGGTTTCAGGTTAAGTTTGAGAGAATAGAGTTATTTTCAATCGTCGACCATGACTCAATGAGTTGGTCTTTGACATTAGGTTTAGAAAGCTAAGAAAGCTTGAATACGGAATTTTCGTATTCTACAATGTCCAATTGGTCTGATCACTAGCAATCACATCATGTAACTACTCCGTATATAAGAAGGCTGTAACCATCTCACCGGTATCAGTCTCAAAGCAGTTTTCAAGCCTGTCTTCCATCAACCTAATCCACTCTTTACACGTCCCTCGTTTACATTATCTTCAGAAGTCATTCATCATGCATATGCACACTGTCTATGCATTTCTCACAGCCTCTGCTGTCTAACTCGTCGCTGCCGGTGGTTTCTCGTCGACATGCAGCGGCATGAAATACTCTTCCACGACGCTGACCGCGGACTGCAAAAATAACTTCATTGATCCCTACTTCGAGAATCACCCCATCAATTTGGCGAACTGTCTTGCCAACGTTGGAGGCTGGGTTGTCGTGAGTTTATCCCCCCGTCCTACTAGACCCTCAGCGGATTGGGCGTTATACTGACTCTTCCTCCAACTCACAATGTCGTCCTAAGAGGTAAGCCTTTTCAAATGTTAGGACAATGCGAGGTATCCTAAATACTTACACATTCCTCGCAGCCCATCCTTCAAGTTTTGCGACTGCGGTCTCGCCGGTGACCATAAGACCTTGAACTGCCGCTGCACCGACTCTACTGGTACCAAGAGGCCGTCTTCTCTGAACCTTGGTACGTGCATAAAATGTAGTCATAACCAGCGAGAGGACAACGAAGCTTACACTTCCTACGCTAGATACATGCTTGAGCAACAACGACGGACAATTGACTTGCTAGAGCCTCGTGCCTAACACATCTGAACACCGGGAATTGGTTCGAATCCAGTAGTAGGAGACGGCGCATGGAAATATCAAGGACACGCCGGTGCAAGTCGCGACGTCTTTGAGAGTGGCGTGTAGCTGTAGGGAAGATCGAACACGGCTAGTCAATTTAGAATCCTGCAGATGCATCAGGCCAAGAGCATCAAGCCATTCATGATGTAACTGTGAAGTATTAATCTTTCTGCTACCCTCGCTGAAACTGTCACCATTGTCCGCCTGGCTTCTAGTGTTTGTCTCGCCCAGCGCGTCGAGGTTGACGTCATGACCGATCAGCACGGCACCATAAAGTTGTCCGTCTTTGGCCGCGTGTACGCCAATATCCTGGCCAGGCCGGATGTCAAGGGATGCCATGTCCGCGTTGAGAGCGAGAGTGATGTAGATAACCTTAGGGCCCAGAAGCATGGGGCCTAATCGAGTGATTCACATTGAAGGGCCAGAACCAGAAAGCTGGACAAATGTGTAGGGCGTGTTTACGTGAGCTGCTCAGAAGCTTAACTGATACCTAATCGAAGTATATCTCTACACAAGTCCACTTAGATGTCTTTAATCCTCATCCGTTGGCTAAGCATTTCTGTTGTGCCTGCCATTTGTATCCAATTGCGTCCACCGTCAGGGGACGACTAGACTGACCCTAGGCATATAACCCAGGTCAATCTAACGGTTTGTTCTCATGCCCTTTGGCCGTCAGCTTAAGTTGTACGCCCGCCGGTACGGCTGTCTAGCCGAGGAAGTGGACGAGCGCGACAAGCCTCAGTCGTGCCTAGCTAACTGTCGAAACCTCGTCAATGTCTAGGCTAGCTGCAGAGGCTTAGGGTGAGGACACTGTTCCAATGGGCTTAGCAAACAGTAAATGTGGCGCTAGATCTTTGTCCACCAGATGTGCCGGCCGCGCGGTGTCGAAGAGCTTAGAGCTAGCCACCTGACGGTGCTGTCGGAAAGCATCTGCAGGGACATCTGCGAGTTGATGCGGAACTGGAAGCTCAACCTCGATGCCGCAAGCGTGATTCACGCCAGCTTCGCCCACAGGCTCCTCCAATCCAGCAACAAGGAGTCGGGCAACAACCTAGTTGCATTCACGGCATCTTAGTGCCATCACGGTGGTCTAGCAGAGCATTGCAGACACATCACCACGAAACATAGGCTCAAATCCACGTACGACTCTCGGCGTCGACAGGCTCACGCCTGTTCAAATCTTGATGCTGGAGACCACACATCCGAGCCTCCGCATGCCATGTGAAATCAGTTGTCATTCTGATTGATATGTACTTCATCATGCCTCCTCAGATGGCTTAACGTCGTACTCAACTTCCGTCCTGATCACGTACTTGGCACCTTGCCTCACACCAGTACCCTCGTGAAGTGGGGCACCCTTTGCATCTCCATGTGGAAAGACGGCGACTCCGCCCATGACCGGTCGCACCGGGTACGCATTCAGCGTACCCTCCCGCGCTGCTGGGAGGAAGTACGTTGTCTCGCCGCCTTCAAACTCGTCGTTCAAGTAGATGAGGAAAGTGAACAGTGAGCTCTGCCTCTTCTCCTCAGGCGATGAATCGTAGACATATGTATCGTCGGGAAGGATGCCAGAAGGCGGCCAGGCGCCGTCAATATGCGCACGGTATTCGGCTCCGGGGACGTAGCGGTACACGCGGAACCGTCGATTGAGGCCGCGGACCATTCGTCCGTCGACTGACTGGGGAACAAATGACGAAACTCTGGACCACAAGGCATCGTGGAAAGTGGTGTCGACAACCCAGTAGAAGTTGTGAGCAAGAATGCTGATGTCCCCATCTTCGCGAAGAGGGGCATCCGGGAGAAAGTTGACTGTCTCGCCGGCAGTTATGATTGCTTTGCACTCGTCTACGGAAAGAACGTCCTTGAAGAGGCTGAGCCCTGGTACAACGGGATGTGCGTGTGCTGTTACTGGTGGCCTTTCATCGACCAGGGGTATCGTGTTCAGCGCGGTCGTGTAAAGGAGTGCGTCGTGGTGATTGGGCGGCTTCCGAAGCGGACCGGGAGTTCGTTCAATGACGCGAAGAGACGCTGCCAGATTGGCCGGTGCCGATTCGAATATGGTCTTGTCGAGAACAGAGGCGTATACCTGGAGTGATGGCGTGGCGGGGCGGAGATCCCAGGTGTCCTGCAACGCGATTCCGGGTGTTGAAGAGAGGGGAAGGGGCGTGGCCTTAGGGTTGCTGTCGGAGTGGCCGCAGGCTCGCAAGACGGCGTCGAGAACCAGGAGACGTTGCTTGTCTCTCTCTGTTCTCTGGATAGCAACTCCTTCGCCCTCCCCTTCCGGCAAAGTGGAAAGACCACTGATGACGTCCAGGTCTCGTACCCAGCGACAGAGCGCTCCTAGCTTCGGTTCCTGGCCGCGGATTCTCATTTCGGATAGCAGGACTCTCGCATCGTCGTACTTCTCGTCGGTGAGGGCGCCGGTGATTCGTGCTGTGAGACCAAGATTCGTACCAGCTGTAAGGGCGAAGTGTTAGCGAATGATTGACGATGATACAACGCGATCTGGGAGTCTGCTCACGGGCATTGTTGACGCCACTGGGGCAGTTCTGGCGAAAGTCATAGACGGCAACGCGAAGATCTCGGCATTGCTTCGATTTGATAAGGTTCGGGTATTTGGCAAGGGTGTTAAGAGTGTCAATGGCGATGTCGAGCTCCTCGTCTGATATGACTGTCTGGAGGCTCTTGGGCTCGAGGTTTGAGGTGGTGTTGTCGTCACTGTCAGGTGGTGTGATTGTCGTCGCTGCGGTCTTCGGAGCTTTGCGTGGGAGCTCGTCCTGCGCATTCTGCTTGCGCTTCTTCGCGGCCTTTGATTTCGCCATAGTCGATTGTTGCGATGTTTCGATCGGGACTAGAAGGTCTTGGGAGTCGAACAGAAAGGTAGAAGGAGGGTGGCGTTCGATGAGGTGGGCTGAGATTTTGGACCAAGCTTCCCATGCGCCACCACCTCAGTCCAAGGGTCTTGCCCCGCCGAGGGGTTCAGCCAATCGACAGGCTGCTGCCTGAGGCATGACATTCGAATCCCGCTGTGGGGCCGCCAGGTGTCCGGGGCGGATCGGATGGGTCCGGGGTACCCTTGAAGGGATGCTTTCCCCCGCTTCATCATTCTCGAAGTATGTGTCGTGTTGAGGTGACACAAAATCGACGAAAATTTGAGGGCTACTATAATACGGCGGCCAAGATGGCCGCAATGGCTCCGGCGTGTAACGACGTTTCTGTAAAGCCTTCTGCAAGCCAGCTGTAGAGCAACCAGTGGATTAATACTCGTCACCCGGTCTCAGACATTTTGAACCGAAGCCTAGATCTGAGTTCTAGCACACTGTCAGTAGTCGTATACAATCAAGTGCGGAATAGCAACAGTATGTAACTCCCTGATTAAGTCCAGCTTTTCTCTAAACCTATTGCTCTTCAAATGTTTTTCCAACTTGTATGTACCGTAATAGAGATAAGCCCATCGATGATTCGTCATTTTCCCACCAGAGCATGTACCGTCGCCATTGTGCAGTCGATACAGCGGCGACATCTTTAGTACAACGGAGGCAATGAAAGTTCAACGCGATCCATGAAGTCTTGTGGCCTGTGGGGCGAAAACCACATGCAGTGAAGCGTTTGTGACAATATCGACGGGACGGCGCAAGTCTCGTGCCGCTGAATCACGTATACATTGGCGGCCCGGAGCCGAAAAGGAGCCGAGATGAGCGATCAGTTGGCGGGAAGCATCTTGTAGTTTCCCGCTGCACAAGCGGAAGTTGTACTAAATTCTTCTCCTCAAGGCGCTCTGACCTTCAAACTAAAGCCGGTGCGGGATATGCGGGTCGTAATTATCTCAAAATCCGGCGCGGAATTAAGACCGTCTGAACACCAGGTTATGCAGCTCGCATCTGTCAAGAACGTCATGAGGTGAACTGTCAAGGGCCTTGGGGTTGCATAGAAACAGGATCCGCTATGCTCGTACGAGGGATGAAGCGACGCATATGGTACGCAAGGTGCCTGCTGGGCATACATTGACAAAGGTCTCTATATGTGAGGCCAATTTGGAAGCAGTAGCATGGTATTTGTGCCTGCGGACCGCGACGATCCCCGGAGAATAGCCCCGAAATTTAGGTATTCGGCAGCTATCCTAAGCTTTTCAGAACGTAGTTTGCCAGCGTCCGCCCTCAAGAATAGCTTCTCTAGCCAAAGTCTAAGGGTGGCATAGTCGTCGATCAGGAAGTTTCCCCAGATGTCTGTCCACGCCCCCACAGAAGAATGGGTGTACAGGCACCAATCAGTGTATCAGTAAAAGTCAGTTGACGCCTCGAGTCAAACGCACACCAGAAATCATCTTCGCGGACATTGGGCGGACATTGGTGGACATCGGTCACACCTTCGCTCTTTTCATCCCCGCCTCAGTGCGCGAACGCTACGGGGTAAACAAATCCTCCAACTGCCCGAATCCTGGACGGATAGCAAGTGCCGCGATCTAGATCACGAGTGGGGGCGACGTACACCGGACCCGGGCCAAGCCGGGTGAGTTATGCACGAAATGTGCAAAACGCGGAGACCATCCGACCCACGGTGACGCTCGCCCGCCGCAACACTCCGCGGAACTTAGTAGGTTAACTCTAGATTCTCCACAAGTATGTAACGGTATGCCGCTGCCCGCAGTAGTCCTGCGAGAGATCGTCGTTTCACAGGGCCTTCGGCTTTCAAGGTTTGAACCGAATTCCGTCGCTTAAATCAAGCACAAGTTGATAAAAGTGCTTTAGTGCCAGGCTTGAAAATGGTTTGTTGAGCTGCCACCTATCAAGTTCGTCCCGTCTGCAATCATCATCTTGACGGTTTCAGGTTCCGCGGGGAGCTCACACTATTCAACATGTCGAACCACAGTGCTGGCTTTACAGCCCATTTGCTGAACATCCATACGCTCTGTTCAGGATTTGCTCTGATTATTTCTCTGGTACGTGGTAGACTTACAAGCCATTAACTCTAGTAACCAATGGAATCTCGCCGTAGTCGTAAATGCTGACCATATCTGACCATTCATCTAGGGCGTTACTTACCTCTTCGGGACTGTCATCTACAACGTCCTCTTCCACCCTCTACGCAAATATCCCGGGCCAAAGCTCTGGGCGGCCACTCGGATCCCATTTGCTCGCAGCACCCTCTCTGGCCAGGTACACCGCAACATCTTGGAGCTGCATCAAGAATATGGACCCATCGTCCGAGTCGCCCCTAACGAGCTCGCTTACAACTCCCCCGATGCCTGGAAGGATCTCCACGGACACCTAAAGAATGGCACCGGCGACCACGGTAGGGATCCGGTCACCACCCAGGATAGCAGGCATGGCATCATCGGCGCCAACCGGGAAGACCACTCTCGATTCCGACGAGCCTTGTCACACGGTTTCTCAGCGCAGTCCATGCTGGAGCAAGAGCCCATCGTCAAGAAATACGTGGACCTGCTCTTCCAGCGTCTCCACGAGAAGTGCGCTGGAGGTGCCGAGGCTTTGAACATGGTCTCGTGGTATAACTGGACGACTTTTGATGTCATTGGCGACCTGGCTTTTGGCGAGCCGTTCCACTGCTTGGATGATTCCGGCTACCATCCGTGGGTCAAGCTCATTTTTGACGGGATCAAGGGCAACTCTTTCAAGAACTGCATGCGGCGATTCCCACCGATCGAGAAGATTTTAATGCACTTCATCCCGGCCGACATCCGCAACAAGCGAGAGGAGCATATGGCACTCACTCAAGAGAAGGTTTCCATGAGACTTGCCATGGAGACTGAGCGACCAGACTTCATGGACTCTATGCTACGTACAAAGGGGCCTCAGGTACTGCAAATTCGCTGACCATCAATCGTCTTATTATGCTAACATTGATGAACCAGAAACTCACCTTCGAAGAACTCAAGTCAAACTCCTCAGTCCTCATCATCGCCGGCTCGGAAACCACCGCAACAGCCCTGTCAGCGATAACATACTACCTTTGCACAAACCGCCAAGCTCTTGAGAAGCTCACCCACGAGGTTCGAACAGCCTTCAACTCCGAGGAAGAGATTGAAATGGTCAGCGCGCAACAGCTTCAGTACATGCAGGCGGTTATGAACGAGGGCCTTCGAATGTATCCTCCAGTCCCGACAGGCATCGTTCGCAGAGTCACCGACGATGGCGGCGTCTTCTTGGGTCAATATGTGCCGAGCGGAGTAAGTCTAGTTTCAATTCCTTCTAACCATCGAAACAAAGAAGAGTATCATGCTGACGCGATGGCGACACAAAGACCCTGGTTCAGATCTGGCATTGGCCTGCCTTCCACAGCCCGGAGAACTTCACTCTTCCTGACTCATTCATCCCCGAACGTTGGCTCGATGACGCTCGCTTCTCTGGTGATAAGAAGGATGCGTTCCAACCGTTCTCGGTCGGTCCGAGAAATTGTATTGGCAGAAAGTACGTGGCATGAACGTCTACTACCCCACATGATTGTCGAAAGGTCCGATACTAATATGTTGCGTTTTTGATAGTTTGGCCTACGCGGAAATGCGTCTCATTCTTGCGAGAATGATCTGGAACTTCGACATGAAGCTATCGGAGGAAAGCAGGGGCTGGGACGAGAAGAGCCAAGTCTATCTTCTTTGGGAGAAGGGCCCAGTCAATGTTTACCTCACTCCCAGGGTGAAAGCCAGATAACCGAGAAAGAGAAGTTATACTGATCAGTGATACCTCGAAGGAAGTCTTGATCGCAGGATTGATTTCAAAGGGGCCATTCGTGATAGGCTCGCATTGCTTTTCCTTTGCGGGGTCATGACTAGGCGTTTGAGGACCATACCATTTACAAACTACTACCCTTCAAAAAGTCGCTTTCTTGATTGTGTACTGGGTGCTCGTAACCTAATCCGGAGGATAGCCTCAAGGCCAGTGTCGAAGTGGCTACCCTTGACCCCATTCGATCATTTTAATCTCCACGAGGTGTTATTTCCCAAGGTCAAGATCCCCAAGCGCGGCGCACTCATGACCGTGAATGGGGAGTTCTTCGCATGAGTTAGTAGACGTAGATAAAATGAAGTAAGGGTATTAACTCGAACTGGTTCTCGTTAAAAGTGGCAAAAGGAGGTAGAATCGTGCCTCATGTCTCTCAACGGGTAGGAAAATGGCACAATGATTCAGATTCTCGGCCCTCAGGCCACTTAGTCCCGTAGCGACGACTATCAACCGCATTGTACCAGTCCACCGTGAAGCCAAGCCGGTTGGGTATGCCGGAGTTGGCGAGGTAGTCACTTGGTTTGCTTCAAATCCTTAGGCGATGGGATGCAAGGCTGCAGGACTCTACGAAATCTTTCATGCCAACGTTGGCTTGGTTTACCGAGACGAAGACATAACTTCGCATGTACTACTTGGGATAAGCTCAAATTTCAAGACTCTCAAAGAGTGGAGGCCTCAAGCACAAGAAAGTAGAATTACCAAGTCTACTTATGGTGACTAAAGTGTGTATTATACTTTCCCCTTTACCTACAAGTACATCAGGTACACGAAAAAAGCAACTACCATCTGCTAACCCGGCAGAGTGGTGTTGATAGCACAATATCATGATGCGACAGGGTCCAACTGTCAGTTGAACCCATTCGAAAAGAAACCCATGCTAGCGGCTAGCTGCAGCTGAATGAAGTTTCTGAATCATATCCTCGGCCTGGAAGTTGAGCCGTCCAGGCCCATCAGGCTCCGAGCTATGTATGTTTGGTCCAGAAGCCTGTCCTCTTCCCACACCCACGAGTATTAGCCTGCCGTCGGCGACCGCTGCCATCTATCGTGAGAGTAAGGCGGACTGCACGAGTATGATTTCGAGT